TCACTTCACTGGCCCATGTTGGTGTTATCATTGCACTCTTCCCTGCTGAGGCAGATCGGTCACCGGCCATTATATGGCCACTCACGGCCACTCACGGCAGCTCTCACCAGCTGCCGGCTGCTCACGCTGGCTGCCGGCCACTCACGTAGCTCAAGGCAGCCCACTGCAGCCCCACTGCAGCCTACACCGTCACCAGCAACTCACAGCAGCCCAGCTCCAGGTCAAGCTGTTGTTCACCATCTTAGCTGTAGAGGGCGCAGCATCACTGGCCCATGTGGGATCTGAACCGGCAGCCCTGCTGCTCAGAGCTCATGCTCCCAAGCCAACTCTTAACCAACGAGCCACTCGGCCACCCCCGAGAGATTTTTAAAGTGTTATTAGTCACCTACACTATGTAAGAATAGTTTTCAGGTCATTTTGCAACATCATCGAATCTCAAATCAGGAAGGATGCCACATCCTGTCTCTGTCCAGCTTTTGTTCCAACAGGAAGCAGCCGCACTGTGTTCAAATCATTCGGTTTGGGTTGTTTTAAAATCTGTTCTATGGGAACTTGAAAGATTGTCTGAATATTAAACAAGCTATTTATAAAGTGTAACTTACATTTAGAACAAGTAGGATAAAATCAGGAAGCGACCTTATCTTCCACTGTAATTCATGGGAGAAGTTCTTCACTGGCCCTGGATGAAAAGTGGGGTGGCCACCGGCCTCTGCTGGCCTTCTCTAGGTGACAGACAGGTGTACAGACTCTGAAGGTCAAGGACACACTCCCAGTACAGTAATTTAAATGTCCAGTCAAAGGTCCAGGTGGGCAAGTGAGGCTGAATCCACGAAACACAGTGACTGGACCAAATGTCCACGTGGTTGTTAAATGTTTGACTATCACCCCTGCAGTAGGGGAGGAGGTGTGGCCTGTCTAGTATGTACGTATTCCATGCAACTGAGCTGATGTTTCTATTGCTAAAAAATTTGAAAGTTGATAGACAGATTAACCTAATTAGATGTGCTCAAGTTCAGTTCAAATTGTGTTTTGTTGAATTGATGGCTGCTCCCCTGAATAAGAACTCTTGTCCCGTGAGAGAGGAGGGAATACAGCAATTAAATTTGAAACTAAGAAAAAAACACAAACATGGGTTATCATTTGACTGATTTAAGAAAAACCAATTGCTAAGGCAGACATTGATTAATTCACTATTATTTATCTACTTATTTTTTCTCTCATATCTCTACCTCTGCTTCTTATCTCATAGATCATGTACTTTTTACTAATGGCTTTATTGAGGTATAATTTAAAGACTCCAAGCACACCCATTGTAAGTGTACAAATGCTTTTTCATGCCTCTTAGTAAATTTATAGAGTTGTGCAATCATTACCACAATCTATTTTTAGAACTTTCTATCGCCCTGGAAAAGTCCCCTCATGCTGTTGGCAGTTAATCCCCACTCCTGACTCCAGGCTCAGGCAGCTGCTGATCTGTCTTTCGTCTCTGTGGATTTCCCTTTTCTAGGAATTCTATGTAAATGGAAAATAGAATAAGCATATATCAGCAGTTTATTTTACAATGTTTATATAAAGTCCACTGGGAGGAATTTTGTTTCTCCATTCCCCAAGAGGAGGGGGCACTTCACGCCACACAGGGCCCCGGGGTGCCGGGGGGGGGAACCAGGGGAGAACTTGGCCCAAGCCTTCAGTATGGCTCCCATGGTGAGGACCAGCTGGTTCAGGGCTCTGGGGCCCAGGGCTGCCCCTGGTTGTCTGGCACCTGCCCTGGGGGACTGGGGAGGGGGGAGTGGCCCAGAGCGTGAGGACTACGCAGAGGTGGTGGGGTGTGAAATGTGCACTTGCAAGCAAGGTGCTTCCTATCTCTAGGAATTGAGAAGCCTGAGAGGGGCAGTCCCTCCAGGGTCAGCAAGGCCCCAAGATATCAATACAGAAATAGGGAAACTAGAAAACATGGTCACCACACAGAGCTCCCATCCTGCACCCGTTGCTGGATGAGCTCAGAGAAGGGCTGGGAAGTGAGGGAGGAGACCATGCTGCAGTGCCCCTTTAGCCATGAGTCAGGGGACCGGATGCTGGTGGCGCTCCCCTTCTAGCATGACCTTCGCTCTTACCACTGTGCCCCCTTTGCTTTCCGCACGCCCCTCCCCGCCACTCATCGGCCACAGTGTATTGATAAGAAAATGGGGCCAAGCAGTCATGGAGCCGTCATCTTATCATGATATTTCCCATCATTCCAATTGGGTGGGATTTCCTGTTCAGTGTGAGGGGGGCAAGCACATGGCCTCTCCACGCCCTTCCTCCCTCTCGTGGTGAAGATGAATGACATACGTCTGGCCGGGATCTGGACTCCCTGGGGAGAAATAACCTTGCTTTGGCTTTCCTGTCCCCACAGCTCTGGGCACAAAGGCTGTCTGGACTGGACAGAGGCTGTCTGAGTTGCCAGCTCTCAGAGGAGGGGACGGAGAGCTTCACGTTGCCTCACTCTCACCGGTAAGCATCCGGAATTCCCTGACGTTTGCCCCAGTAAGGCAACACCCCTGTGATGAAGAAAACGCTTTAATTATGATCTCGTGCCTTTCTCTTCTCATCCCAGGCCACGGCCACATTGATAAAACCACTGTTCTGTACAGGGTGTTCGAGTACAATTGTTGAAGCTACCCTGAAGCCACGGCTCTGTGCACTAGAACTTGGAATAATTCATAATAGGAGGAGGTGGGGGAAATATAATAGAAGAAGGGCTTGCTTGAAATGCCTGGATCTGGACGTAAGGCACAGGTGGTGGCATTAGCCATCTTAGGGCAGTGATTTTACAAAAAGTAACATAAAATCAGAGAGCACAGCTCAGTTCAATTCATTCTTCCAAGATCGGTATGATGTGGGGGGCTGGGAGGGAGGAGAGGGCAGCAGAAGGGGCGAGAGCCCTGGGCATGCCGGCTGCACACCCAGGGATGCTCTGAAGTTCATGGTCAGAAGTCAGCTCTCAGCTGCACAGACTGTGTTCCACCGGGAAGCCTCAAATGTTCATTGTCAGGCTGATGAACTGGGAAGAGAGAGAGAGAGAGAGAGAGAGAGAGAGAGAGAGAGAGAGAGAGAGGGAGAGAGAGAGAGAGAGAGACTGGTTACCCTTCTACTTCCCTACCGAACGAAGAACGGCCCTGGTTTATGTCACAGGGCCTCTGCCATCTGATCATTTTGCATGCAAACATGGACTTCTGCCTCAACATGAAACATTTAAAAAAAAATTAATTCTCAGCACTTTAAGTTTTCCAGAGTTCCTGAACCCTTTCTGAGGAAGCACAAGTCAAGTGTGGATGGGGAGAGAGAGAGAGGAAATGTGCTTTCTCCCTGTCGAAGCAGACAGCTTCCCCGAGTCACCATGGGCAGGTGGCATTAAGTGCCTTTTCCTCTTGATGGTGGGACCCCTGTCTGTGAGGACAGAGGTGGCCCTCCATCATGCAGGGGCTGCCGGAGACGGAAACATGGAGAAGCAACACAGAGCTCATCTCTTGCCCGTCCTGCGCCCTCCTCCCCGGCCTTCTTATCACAACGTGGTGACTTGGGGGACCATGGTGACGGGAGATGGCTTTTCCTCTCCTCTCTTCCCTCCTGGGCACAGCATGAGGCAAGGCCAGGACTATGGTGCGCAGCTGGGTGAAGGAAGACACACGGACTCGAGTGTTTCCTAAGTGGTGGTGGTGTTCAAAACAGTGGCTCTTCAACTTGGCCGCACACTGGACTAACCAGGGGAATTTTCAGAATATCAGTGCTTGGCTCCTCTGTTCCCCCAAAATTTGTATTTAATTGGTCTGGGGCATGGCCAGGCCACTGAGGTTTAAAATCTTCCCAGGAGATGCTAACATGCAGCTGGAATTCAGATGGCAGCAGGTTAAAGGGGAGAGGGGGAGGGCTCATTTGTCCTGTTGTCTTGGGGGTTGGTAGCAATGGGCCGGGGTGCGGGGGAGGTAGGAAAGCTTACACTGAATGACTTGGATCTGTTGAGGCAGGGGCTGGGGGGTGGGGGGAGAAGCTCATTCCAGCCCTGCACCTGTGCACATTTGGGTTGGAAGTAACACCTTGAACCTGAAGCAATGGAAGGCTTTCTCCAGCTTCTGGTGCTTTGGGCCTTTGGCGAATAATCTGTTGAATACCAAGCCCGCCCCCTCCCCCCCTGCACTGTGGACAGGTGGCACTGTCACACTTTCTTCATGCTTATTAATGGCACAGCCGTGAAGTAAATGAGAAACAAAGGTGGGCCCCGGGGGTCCCTCTTGTTTCCGTAAGAGACTAGTTTGAGTAGGCACAACTTTCTTTGGAATCCTGGGGTGTTTTATACAGTTATCGATCAGAGAAGTTATATTTATTGAGTGTGTGATCCACGCTCAAGGTGAAAGAGAACACTAGGAAAGGAACAGTCTAGTGCCTGTTCTCAGTGTAATTATAATGTACCCAGGGATCTGGGATATGCACATGGGAGCATCAGTGACTACTCAACATAATAATTTGCCAAATTACGTAATATTACTATAAACCAAACTTTTGGTGTAAGATTAAGGCCTAGATCTCTTTCTGCAAATGGTGAAACTGAGGCACAGAGCAGGTAGATTGACCAAATCAGAGCACGGGGGTGGTGGTGGGGGCAGGCCCATTCGCTGTCTAGGACATGCTGTCACCATCCCCTTTATCTCAGAATAGTTAGTAAATGGTACCCAAATCCTAAGTTAATAGTGACTTGGGAAATGAGCCGACATGTGTGACATGTGAGCGTGGAAATGGGTGGGGGGATGAAGAACTCAGAGCTGGAGAAGGAGACACAGGCCACCTGGCTCTACAGCTGGGTCCACGGAGAGCAGAGCTGGACAGAAAGACGTATGGGCAGAAAGGAAAACATGGGAAATAGGAACCATGGGAACCGTGGAAGGAAAGCGTCCCGAGTGTCCCCCTGCCTTTGGGCAGGACACTGTCTCACCAGAGTTCTCAACCTTTAGTTGTTTAGGAATCACTGGGGAGCCTGCCTAAGTGAGACAGGACCCAGCAGGTCTGGAGTGGGCCTAGTACTCTGCACTTCTTTGTTCCTGTTTATTGAGAGATAATTGACATGTAACTGCTGAAGTTGAAGGTGTAAGGAGTGTTGATCTGATACATTTACATCCTGCAACATGATTACCACTGTGGCACTAGCTTACACCTCCATCATGTCACATGAGTATCATTTCTTTTCTGTAGTGAGAACAGTTAAGATCTAGCCTCTTGGCAACTTTGAAGTTTATCACAGTATTGTTGCCTATAATCACTACAGAGCACTGCATTTCTAACGAGCTCCCGTAAGTGGTGCCCGTGTGCCACTCTGGGCAGGGGAGCAGGCTATTCACACCTGGGCAGGGGAGAGGGCTGTCCACACCTAGGCTGCCTCTTTTAAGCCTTTGAAACTTGGATCATACTCTCCCCTCCATTGCTTTTGCTGTGATTAGCCCTGTGACTATTAAAAGTGTATATCTCAGGGTTTTTGAGGTGTGTGCATGCATGCTCTCGCGCTTGCATGCACACACACACACACACGCACACACACACACACATATCAAGAATCATGAGGTCTACAGGACAGCGTCAGCGAGAGAGAGTGAATAAAGTGGAACCTAGCAGGTAGGCTGGCTGAGGCGCCCATGTGGCAGAAGGAAGAAAAGGAGAAGGCAGAGTTTGCTCGCTCACTTAATTCCAGGTGGTTAATCGCTCTGTGCCTCAGTTTCCACCTCTGCAAAATGGGGATATGGTTAGTCCCCAGCTCATAAGATGATTGTAAGGATTATATTGGCTGCTAATGCATAATACACCAAAAATATTAGCAGTTTTGCTGTTGTCACCCCCACGGCTAAATGTCACCCTCGCATGCAGCCATGCGTTCAGCAAATGTTTATGTGGTGGAACTGGCCTATCCCTGGCTGGGTCCCTGCGTGCAGGGTCTGGCTTGGTCATACCTCGTTTATTTTGAGATGAATGAACTCCTTGTTCTTCGTACTGAGAGCCTGGAACACCCCTGAGAGGAGACACAGGACAAAGGTGTCACTGCAGGGACAGTTCCTCCACAGGCTCAGCTAGTTCCCCCGCAACCCAGGGGCCTTCTGTGCGGCCGGTGAAGAAGCTGCTCCACCTGGTGGTCAGAGGGACCTTCTGGGGCACCTGCCAGACTCAGGGAGGGATTTCCCCCAATGGGTGGAAACCTCTCGAATTCCTGTGATGGCGGAAGCCAGTGGTTTGAGCACTGGGTGGCACGTGTTGTCATCAACAATATCCAGCCAGCTCCTGGATCCAAAACACCTCCCCACCTTAACTCTTGGGCTACAGATCCCATGCAACCCATGGCCCTGCTCCCCAGAGGAAAAGCACGGGTACGTAGCCTTCTGCGTGAGTCTTCAAAGCATACAGGACCCTTATGAGGAGGTGAGCACTGCAGGTGCTCCCACATGTAGGAGGGGGCCCGTCTGAGACGGATGCTGCGTCTACGTTTCAAATAACCTGAGAAAGTGATCTTTCTCTCCAATCTCAGTCGAAGTGGTCAAGCCAGTCAACCGTAGATTCATCTGAAAGCCACTGTGTGAGCTTTAGAAGTACAACAAAAAGGGGGAGGAGCTCTCACAGAACAAAGGAGCCGGAACCCAGAAGCCAAACGCAGAGTGGATTCAGACACAGACGGCAAATGAGGAAGAGGACCTGGGGGATTTCAGCTTGGGCCAGGTCTTAGCCGAAGTGGAGGACTTACTGAGAATTCTGGGAGCTACGCAAAGGGTTGATAATTATGCGAAAAAAAGTCTATCTGTTAGAGACATTTACAGACAAGAGACAAGAGGACTGAATTTCTGAGGTTTGTTATTGAATTATTCAGGGGGAAATGCATCTGTCAGGGGAACATATGAAAAAGATTACAAGATGATAATCGTGGAGATTGGAACCACCTGGGAATTTTTATCAATACCGACGCTGTGTGCCTCCCGTCCCCCCCCACACACACTACATTCTAATTTAGTTGGCCTACTGAGCGCCCAGTCATCACATTTTGAAGCTTCCCCAGGGATTGTAAAATGTTTGAGACGCACTGGCAGAGGGTGCGTGGGGACTGGCTAATATTCTTCATGCGTATAAATGTAATTAAAAATTTCTGGAAGAAAAAGTTAAAATAATCCTGGAGCAAAGCCCTAGCCTTGGTATTTTTAAGAGTTCTCTAGGTGGTGAATCTAACATGAGGGTCCCAGCTAGGTGACATGAAGCCTGCAGCGCCTTCTCCCCAATATTCCTGGGTTATGAGAACAAGCTGACCGCCCCATGGAAGGCATGGGCCTGAGGGGATTTTGAAAGGAAAAGGGTAGTTGGGAGAGAGAAGCTGTCAGATCTCCTAATTTCTAGGTCAGCTCTGACCACTGTAGGTCTAATAACTTTCTGGAGGGTCTTTGTAAAACGCATGTTTAAGTGCTGGTAGCCGCCTGGAGAAAGCCCAGCCTCCTGGCTGGAAGCTTTCAGCTCAGTATTTTCAGTGGACACGCGTGCCCTGCTGTCCACTAAGGACGGCGCTCCCGGCGCTTACAGCCCATGAAGCCCTGTTCCCAGCAAGTGACGACATGTTCCACGGGGGTGCTAGCACGGCGGAACCCAGGAGCACAGACCCTGCCTGGGCTTAGCAAGTGCCCCGAGGTCACCCAGCAGACATACCTGAGGAAATGCCCACAGGACTGGCTCCATAATTTGGGGTGGTCCAGTGCAAAATAGAATACAGGCCCCGTGTTCAAAAGTTATGAAGATTCCAGGTGGTGACACCAGAGCGTTACAGCAAGCACTGCCCCCTCAGGGGCACGGGGCCCTGTCCGGTGTACAGATCGCACCCCCACGGCGGCTGCTCTCGTGCTGAGTTACAGACCCCCGGACACACTTGATTCAGCTTCAGCTTTGGGACAATATGACAACAGACTGCAGGCTCTAAGGACCACCTACACACACTCTTCTCTCCTCTGTCGGGGTAACAAATCTTGTGCGAGGTAACCGGGTCAGTGCGTAGGACTTACAGGACACACAGGTGGTGCAGAGCGGGCAGGGAGAGAAGCCCCTGGCTCTGTTGCTATGAGGGGATTGACCTGAAATCTGTCCTTTCTCAGATATGAGCCAGGGACCCGTCACCCTCCTGCCAAGGCACTGGGTGTCTGTATAGAGAACGACTGTTATAACTAAGGTGGTGCCAAGAAAACGCACACATTCCCACCCTCCCGCTACCCACCCTGGTCACACAGATCCGACAGGCTCTCTGCAGGCTGTCTTGGCCATAACGTTGCCAGGTTGTTTCTTACACACTCCTGGAAGGTGGCTGAGGGAGGTGACTCTCCCCTGGGGCTGAGGATACGCAGCCCCACCGCAGCCCCACCGGGCACTCACGGCTTGCGTTCTCCAGCCGGACCAGGCAGTTGAGGAAGTCATCAAAGCCCAGTTGGAGCTCCTCGTCCGCGTACCTGAGGACGATCAACTGCAGCAGGTGGCTGTTCAGCTGAAAGCCTGTGAGGAGGCGAGAGGAGACAGCATGGCTGAGTCCCAAGGGGCCCCCTTGGAGAGCGCCAGTCAGCAGAGGGGCAAAGCAATGAAAAGGAACTCCAGACCCAGTGGGTGCCCTGTCCTCAGTTTGAATGCAGTGTGACAGTGTGTGTCTATGTTGGGGGTGTGCAGGTGAATTCTCAACTATGCCTTCTGAGTTTCATGAGTTCATGGTCTGGGTTTTGGGCCAACACCACCCATTGTGTCTCACGAACTTTTCAGGAAACCTCACTTCGGGGAGCTTAATACTGAGCATTGTCCGAGTGCCACTCTGTTCCTCACCAGCCTCCCCTCTAGTTCCATGTCTGAGCCCACTTCCGGCTGCCTGCCTAGGAAGTTTCCAGCCATGACAACCACAGTAAGTGGATGTTTCTCAAGGGTGTTTTAACCCAAAGCTGTTGGGGGATCTAGAAGTTGTATTTCTCAGCAGGGGTGCTGCTGCCCACAGAGGGTGATGGGGACCGAGAACACCAGGCCAGGGGAGGAGCTGGGTTTGAGCCCGGGGTTGCTCAGGCCACAGGCGGTTTTTTCACTTTTCCAGGCTTTGGTTTCCCCATTGGTTGAATGTAGGTTGAGATGAGCTAAAGTTCCTTTCTGATCCAATATTTAATGCTTTGCTTTATAACCATTGTCCTCAGGATGACTTTGCCCCCTTTCGTTCAGCCTACACTCTCACTGTCCAGGAAATGTTGGAAGTATTGCTGACAAGTCCACCGAGGTCTTCCCACCTCCTCAGCTGACTCCAGACAGGAGGAGGCCAACCAGAGGCAGAGCAGTTTCTGGAGGTTGCACGGAATGGTGGGGGGCTGGATGCTGGCGATGCCCAGGACCCTGGCACCTGCTCTCCATGGCAATCCTCTCTCGCTTCCCCAAGTCAGAATAGAAAAGACTTGGTCACACCTTCCTTCTGAAGGGCTCCCTTTGTCCTCTGCTCTGTCCTCCTGCCCTGGAAACGAGGTCTCCAGCTCCTAACAAAATCTCATCTGTGGCACCCAGCTTATTTATAGCTCATCTGGTTTTCTCCTCCCTAATGTAGGACCCCAGATGGTTCTGATTTTGTGTACTCTGTTCCTGTATGAAACCATGAAGCTGACAGTGTCTCCAGATACTTGCCTTCCCTGGGAGGGAACCGGATTACAAGCCTTGGCAGGGCCTGGGGCACGTCTATGAAGCTGCAGTGGCCGTGCAATCCGCGGCTACATGCAGAGGGCAGCTGAGCCCCAGAGGCTCGGGTTGCCACTGCAGTGACTGCTGGGGGGCTAGGAATGCCACCTGGAACTCACCCTTCGTGCAGGGAGACAGGTATAAAGTGTGACTGAATCGTCCGGTTTGGATTCAGCCTGCTGGTGACAAAGCCACAGGTGGCAGAGGGGTCATGAGCTCTGTGAGCACCTCCCTGACCCAGAACACAGGAGGGGCTGCCCTGCCGCGTCGGGGACCATCATCATCTGAAGGCAGAAGCTGCAGGTTTGGAAGCACGGCAGCTTGCCACCAAAGGGTCTCAGGTAACTCTGCTTGGCCAGAGGCTGGGAGGCCTCGGGGCCAGGCTAGGTTCGTCCTTGGTGGATGCGTTTTAAGGATTCCTGCCAATATTGCACCATGGTTCAAAGCAGGGGCCTGGCATGCATGAGAGAGTCCTGAGTCTGTGGCCTGGCTCTGTCACTAAAGGCTCTGGGCCCTGAAGAAGCCTCAACTCAAGTCAAAGACCCGCCATCTCCTAGGGCGTGAGAAGCGAGGGGCCACCCCAACAGCACCTGGCATGCAGTCAGCCTGCGCCTGACATTCCAGGTTCTTTTTACCTGCAGCTTTCAGCGCGGTCCGCAGCTCGTAGGAGGACATGGTGCCAGATTTGTCTACATCAAACTGCCGGAAAAGGCCCTGGGGGAAGATAGCCGAGGGAGTGGGGACCAGGAGCACACTGGCAGCCGCAACCGGGGGACCACCAGCACGGGGCAGAGACTCCCCTCGAGGGCCGGGAGGCAGTGCGTGGGGCAGGCCCTCCGACACCGCCGTGACCTCCCTCCTCTGCCCTTTCCCAACAGACCCTCCAGCTGGCAGCACCTTGGCCTGTTAAAGCCCCCTCTGTCCTGGGCTTGTCTGAGCCACTAGAGGCCATGCTCTGGCCAGGTACATACTGTCCACATCTTCAGTTTGTCCCAGAACACTTTGAATTCATCAAACTCTAGCTTCCCGTTGCCACTGGTCTGAGCCAAGTGCATTAAGGAAGGAAGACATGATCGCATTACACTACAAACACTTAGCATCTATTTCTGCCCAGGTATTTGGAAGGATACGTCCATTAGAGAAATGATGTTTTTACAGGAAATCAGGCTCAGCTTCTCGAATTTGATGTCCTTTTCTGAAATCACACATGAAACAGAATTCAGTTGACCCCAATAAGATAAGCCTATTCCCATCTGCTGAAAGCTCAACAGTGTGGTTAGATCCAGGCTGGTGAGGCTGGTGACATGGTCACCCTCTTAGGAGGCTAGAGTGAGTAGAAATTGACGTGGCCTTTGGGGAGGAAAATTTGCAAAATATGAAAAGAGCCTTAAAAATGAGAATACCTTTCTATTCATTTATCCTAGTTTTAAGAATCCTAAACGAAGAATTACCAATGATGATTTTTATCATCAGATTATTTATAATGGCAAAAATTTAGAAATGATATAAATGACCAGTGGAGGGTTATGGACACTAAGTTAGGTGATGTCCACATGATGGATCATTTCATAATCCTTAAGGATCATGTTTTTGAAGCATATGTAATGAAACGGGAAAACGTTTATAAAAACTGAGTTTAAAAGGGAGGATTTAAAATCATTGCAGAATTTGAACACCAAGACACTGCTAGTGGAAATGCAAAAGTTACTTGGGGAAGTAGTTTGATAGTTCTTTAAAATGTTAAATGTAGAGTTACCATGCAACCCAGCAGTTCTCTTAGCTATGTACCCAAGAGAAATGAAAACACATCCACACAGATAACTCTACTTGAATGCTCATGGCAGCATTATTCACAATTGCCACAAAGGGCCCCATCACTGCCCAGCAGTGGAGGAGTGGACGAGCAAAGCATGGTGTGTTCATACAATGGACTATCCTCTGGCCATAAAGAGAAGTGAAGAAGCCCTGGCCGGTTGCACCATTAGTGAACCTTGAGCACATCCCACTAAGTGGAGGAAGCCACTCACACGGGGACCGCATCTTCTGTGATCCCTTTTGTGTAAAAAGCTGAGACTGGGCAAATCTCTACAGACAGAAAGCAGATGAGTGTTTGCCAGGGGCTGGGGGAAACGGGGAGTGACTGCTGCTGGGTACAGGGTTTCTTTCTGGAGCAATAAAATGTTCTGCAGTTGATTGTGGTGATGGTTGCACACCTCTGTGAACACACGAGAAACCACTGAATTCTATATTTTAAATGAGTGAATTGTATAGTATGTGAATTACATCTCAAAGCTGTTGTATTTAAATATAAAATTGTATCTATAATTTAATACCAAGTATGTGTGGGTACCTATAAACACACACACAGATGACACATACTACACACATATGTGAAGACACACACATATGTTAGCAGTGGTCACTCATGGGTGGTGAGATTATTGGTCATTTTCCTCTTTGTCACTAGGCTTTTCTGCATTTTCTAGTATTTTCTACCGTAGACCTGCATCATTTTTGTTATTGGGAAATAAGCAATGAAAGTAATTTTTAAAGTCCATCTAACGTCAGTTCTGGGAAGCAGGTCTGTGGCTCTGAGGAGTGTGTGTGTGTGAGGGCGAGGTAGGGGGCTGGAGGAGACCCGGCAGGGGGCCGCCACTGTCAGCCCTGGGGTCCCCGATGGGGGCTGGGTGGTGTGAGCACTTACTCTTTCGTAGCACTGCGTTTAAAACATATTCAAGTTCCTCTGCAGTCACCTCCATGTCCTGTGGAAGTGGAGACAATTGCTTTTCATGGCCCCCAGCACCATCTTCGTGAGTTTCTCTCAGTCCTGAGCTTGATTTGACTCAAGTGACAGACGGGCCCTCAGGAGCCTGCTGCAGCCCTCTCACTTCTCAGACTTGCATACCTAACCCAGAAAGGGCCCAGAGAACGGGGCAGCCAGGCATACGCCTCCCAGCCCCTGAGCCAAAGTACCCCGATGATTCTGGGACTTGACGGTCTGAGTCCCCCAACCGCTGCACAGCAGCAGTCCCTGGAGAGCTTTAAAAATGCCCACAGGGAGCTTTCCGCAGGCACCATTTCAGTCAGAAGACTGGGAGTATCTCTTATTTTCAAAACCTCTAGGGGTGAATTTCAGAACCATTAACCTAAGAATTTCCACTAAATCCCACTAACTCCCACCATCCACAGCACTTAGGTGCCTGTTAGGCATGTAGAGTCTCAGGCCCCACCCTAGGCCTCCTGAAGAGGAAACCTGCATTTTCCTGGATGCTTGAACAAGCAAACCAGCAAATAACCTGTGGAGTTATTTTCACATGTCTGCCCAGGTCCCACCCTTGGGTTGGGGGTTTGGGATATTCAGCCCCAGTGAAGAATCGCTGATCCAGTCCAGGTCCCCATTGAACGGAGGAGGCAAGAGAGACGGGGCCAAGTGTGCAAGCCGCCCAGCTGGCCGAAAGAAGGGCGGGACTGCACAGGAACTGCTCTTCAATGACTCTCCTGCAACAGGCCCCCCTCACCTTCCAAAGCCAGGTCTCCATTTCCGGCAACTTCCCCCCTCCCAAGTCCCTCCTGACCCAGGCCAGTCCCCCAGATGGCTCCCGAGGCTGGGAACTGTTCCTTTCGACCCTCACCTGCTCCCCTGCCCAGGGCTGCAGTCGGCCACTCTGTCTGCTGGTTTAGACAAAGCCCCACAGGTCCACACTTTCCTCCACCCCAGGCCGTGGTCCCCGAGTGTCCCTGACCTGCCAGTGCCTGGAACCCCACCATTAGGGCTGCATTTCCAGGTTTAAGTGTCTTCCTCTTTTATTGTTCAGGAACTTGGTCAGGGGTAGGAAGCTAATATAGTCACCAGCATCTTGCCATGAATTGGTTTATCGGGCTAATTTTAGTTACGGCAGCCAATTGAGAGGCTTCTAGGGAACAGGACGGGGCAGTTTCTAGGAAGACAAGGCCTGAGCAGGGGCAGGGAAAACCCAGGAGGGGTCAGGGGCTCCACCAAGCAAACTGAGCCAGAGAGGTGGGAATGGACAGGGGGACACAAGGACAGACTCTGTCCTTCCCTGGTGTCAGCCCCCATGGCCCCGGTGTTCATGGTGGACCCCCTGACAGCAGCATGGCTGGCCAGGGAAGAGAGCATGATGAGGCAGTGATTTCTGGGCAGAGTTCAAAGGAGCCGCCTCCACAGGGCGTTGGTGCCCATGTGCCATCCCCGGGCAGGCTGGCGCGTGAGGTGCCCTGGGGGACTGTCTGCAGGGCCTCTCAGTGACCAGGGCTGCTCTCACCCTATGGCCAGCTCCACTGCGCCTGGGGCACCCGGCCTCTAGGAAGGGTCACTGACACCTCCCTGTCACTGCAGCCCTGGGTGGCAGCAGCCCTCAGCACAGGGGCTCGGGCCAGGCGGCCACAGCGGCACCTCACCTCCCCAGCGACGCGTGCGAACAGGGCCCGGAACTGCTGCTCGTCCTCCGTCTCCCGGCCCGGCGGACTTGGCTTCGGAGGCTGAGGATGGACCAAGGAGCTCGCGTTGGACTCACAGAAAAGACACTGTCATTTGCTTTCCCAAAGAAACCGCAGGAAAGAGGCCCGGCCGCAGAGGGTGCCACCGAGGAAGCAGCCGGGATCCCTCAGCCAGGTGGCATGTGTGGTTCCCCTGAGCTCGAAAGTGGCCCTGCCTGTGGCATTAGGAGCGCGGTCTCCGCTCCTGGTTAAGGCTCCTTGGAAGGAGTGTCTGGAAGGCCTTGTTAGGGGACTTGCTGAGCCCTCCTCGCATTACAGACGCGAGCACTCAAGGAAGCCGGGCTCCTGACTGAGTCCGGCCGGCCAAGGTTGTCCCCATCCTCTCCTACCACTCACCACCCTTGACTGTAATTAGTTGCTCAGTCATCTGTGTCCCTAGGTGATACCGTCTTTGAGGGCGGGAGTCTGTTTCTAGCTTGGAGCACCGGGCCTGGTGCGTGGAGAGAGCTCAGAAAATGTCTCAGGTGTTTGTCCTGTTTTGCTTTGGTTTGGTCTTGGCCTTGTTAATAAGCTGCCAGCCAGACAGGGCAGCCACAAGCCGAAAGTGCCCTCCGAAGTTCAGATCACCGTTGACTTGGGACGTGTCAGGCTGCCCAGCTGGAAAGTCTCACAGACTCCCACAAGTATAAATTTTGCTCCCACTTTCCACAACACACAGCACAGGGGAGAAGTGATGTGTCCCCTGAGTCCACAGGAATCTACCAGCCTCTCTCATTTTCTTTCATCAATTGCTCTTAAATCGAACACATTTTAAAGATATCCCACCCCTCCAGAAGCAGCAGCTGCCTCTCAGGACAGAGCCAATCAGTAGCAGAAAGATCACTCCAGAGTTTTCTACCAAGCACCCACCTGGTTCCCTGCTGGGTCTTGTTGGGCCCTGAGGGGTTAAAGGCATAGTTTTGTTCTCCAGGAGATCAAGGTGCTTACCTGATTGCAGGTAACCACTCCCTGAACTTCCGAGATTTATGTGACACTATGGTTAGAAGGAGAGGTTCCAGGGCAGTCACCGAGTCCTGCCTGCCACAGTAACATGAGAAGGCTCACCTCAGGAAGGTCAACGCCTACATCTCCATCCAGGTCCCTGTGGGGGCAGGAAACATGCTGACAGTTGTGGATTGACTTCCCCATTAGGCTCTGCGGTGCTAAAGGGCCAAGAGGTACTACTGGACGGTTGTGTCCCATTCAAGCCCTTCTTTTGCAATGACAATTGCGTTTCACGGGGTCTGAAGACCCACGCACTGACCTCCCTGTCCCTCATCACTCAGACCCTGCCCAGCATGAAAATAAGAGTGGGCAGCGTGGCCTCCGCCCACGGAGAACTCGCACAACCTGGACTTCTAGAATTAAAAGGAGATGAACAGCGGTCATCCTGCTTTCTGGATGCATGTCACCAAGGGGCATTGAAGTGTCATATAGGACAGCAGAGCTGAGAAGTTCCCTCACACCCCCCATAAGCTGCCTCTTTCCAAAGGAGATTATGGTCACTGGAGGCATTCATTCAGCTACAGAGGGGTAATCTCGTGGGGGAATTTTAAAGATTATGGAGCAACTTGGGTCGGATCTGCGTGCACCTGAAACTGCCCCTCCCCGGGGACACAAGTCCCTGACTGCGGGTGGGACTGTGTTTATGTGTCTGTGTTTGAGGACAAGAGGGAAAATACTGGAAACACTTTTAAACCTGCTAAAAACGTGAAGAAAATACAAAGAAGCAAATGTGAGGATGGAGCCAGGGTAGTCCCCCACTTCTGCTTATCCCTCGGGCTCACACAACAGAATGCGTTCAGGGTGCTTCTACTGTTATTTAGGGCCCTCTCACGAGAACGACACCAGTGGAAAAGAGCTGTGTGGCTCATCCGTCCCAGAGCCGCAGTGACTCTCATGCTCACTGTCACTGCAGATGAAAGCGTCTTGTTCAGGGCAAGCCTGAGGATGGAGTCACCTACCTTTAAATGCTGAGGACTGACCACACCCACCAAAGGGACGAGGACACTGAGTGTAGGGCTGGCACAGCCTGGCGCTCACTCTCTCATGTTCTTGACACCCATAGGAGTGGCCAATCTGCAGGGGTCTCTTTTGTGTTTTTGTGTGAACAGAACCTGGGAAATCCCCTTAGCTTGTACTAGTATCTGGGAGAAGACTGGCGGACAGCTTTCCAGCAGAGTTTTTTAAAATTAAAGACTTAATTGCTTCCATTTAGCTGAGGATAAAGGACCACACCTTTTCTAATCCACTTGGGCAGGCCGAGCAGACTTGGTAGTTTGGCCCGTTTTGCGTGCACACCACCAGTCAGTTCTGTGCCACCAAACACAAGATGAAACCAGAGTGGGCCACTCAGCACAGCTGTCTCTACCTGTTATCTTAGGGGTCCTCTGGTGGGGATTGGTGTGGCTTAAACAAAGAATTAGTCAGTGTTGCCATTCTCGGTGATCCCTACAATGTTTCCACTGGAAAAAGAACTGGATTCTTGTATCCTGAAACATTTTTTTCCCCTCTGCCACAGAGCAACCAATGGTGGTAATGGGAAATTTTCCCACAGAAATAACTGATACAAAATAAGTTTGCTAAGACACTGCAAAGAAGAGGTGGAGAATATCAGATATGTCCAAAGGGAGGCAGACTTGCCAGCGTTTGTTTCAATGAGCTGAAAGGACATGTCCTTCTTGAAACGTGCCACAGCACCCCCTACATCATGCAGAGGGCGCTAGCGTCCCTAAATGTGGTTCTCACTCCAGAAGTTTCTTGGTGACAGGTCTGGAAGATGAAGGACCCCACCCAAGAGGACCTTGTGAGAACGATTCTGGGAACAATTGCAGTAGGAACTTTTTAATGGTTTGTTTGAGGGAGGGGAGGGGCAGGACTCAAATGGAGATGCATCCACCTTGCAAGTGGGTTAGGAAACCCTGCTGCTTGGTTTCTCAGGAAATCGGGACAGTGGGGTCCCGGCTCCAACACTCTCCCAGTGACTCCTTTGTGAACGAGCCACTGAATAAACAGGGTTCTTAAACCTGCTACTCACCGGGTGATGGCTTTCTTCTCCGAAAAGATCCTCAGGCAGAAATTGGCTTCCTGATGGGGCTCAAAAGTGCTGGGGATCAGGATGTATTCACCCGGGGGAAGCCTGAACCGGTCGGAGACCTCTCGGAGGTTGATGAACGTTTTGCTCCTGGCCTGGGAGGCGTGGTACCTGAAGAAGTCTTTGTCCAGGTGCTCCTCTCTGTCCGGGCACTGCGATGGGAAAGGAAGGGGCTGGGTTCTCAGGGACGGCTGCTGGTTTGGGCTATTTGGACACAGTTTAGGGACTGGCATGGGGCCCAAGAGGAACCGAGAACAAAGGACTTCAGGGCGGGCTCTGAGGAACGGCCGGCCCCCACGCACCTCATAAATGGCATAGCCAATAGTCAGCACATTGGCACCGAACCTCTTGAGTTTCCTCCGATCTTTCTGCATCAGGGCCACGAGGAAAGTGCAGTCTTTCTGCCCCTCATCCGTCTCAGTCAGGGACAACTTTATTTGTGGATTGGTCCAAAAGGTGTCTGCCATTTGAAAGAGGTTGATTATTTCCCCTTCTTTTAAAAACAAAAACAAAAACATGAAGGGAACACACACACACACACACACACACACACACACCCATCCACCCACCGTTCTTTGAAACCTGAGAAAACGTCTTCCCTGTTCCAACTGCCCTCTTACCCCACATTCTAGACTTCCCTGTGAGAATGTAGTGTTGCCCCATTTGTTTCCACTTCCTTTGGAACCATTTCCTACACACTTTTTTTTTAAGTTGGAGAATTCAGGGAGGGGAACAGTATTGGGGAATTGGGGAGGGGGACCAGCCAAGTTGCTGTTCTTGTGGAGGGCTCCAGTCGCCATCTGGCTGCCCGTTGGCAGCTTGTGGCCTCTAAGCTCAAGGTGCTGTGTTACAGTCTTAGTTGTGGGTGGGCGTAGCCAACATCCCAACAGCCTTGTTGTTAAGAGCGCGCACTCTAGCCACTGAGCCATGCAGCTCAGCAAGGTGCCGAGTTCAGTCTTAGTTGCGGGCGGGCATAACCCACCATCGAACAGACAGTGTTGTTGTTGGGAGCAGGTGTTCTCACAGCTGAGCCACCCTGCCACCTGTTGGCAGCTCAGCGGCAGCTCAGCTCGGGTGCAGCATCACTGGCCCATGTGGGAATCGAACTGGCGGCCCTGTTGCTCAGAGCTCCTGCTCTTAAGCTAATTCTTAACCAACTGAGCCACTTGGCTGGCTCTCCCACACAGTTTTTAAAATACATTCTTCTGGGTCTGGTCACCTACAGTTTGTTCCATCTTATTTTTTCCTTTCGGCATCTCAAAGAAGAGAGCAGGGCACTTGCGGCTGTGCTCAGTATCTGGTTAATTAACGGTGGTGCCATTTGAGCAGAATCAACCTCCCTCCCAGCTCCGAGGATGAACCCCGACTAATCTATGAGAGTCCCTCTCGCCATGGAGAATTGGAACAAAGCCATTCAGCCCACAGCTTTCCCCAGCCATAGTGGCTGGTTCAAGGAATTCCCAATTAGAGGGAAGCTGAGGACTTTTGTCTGAGACAGGTAGGTGCTTCCACTGTGCATGTGAATGAGGAAACCTGGGGTGCTGTGGGCAGCCCTCCTGTGACTACAAAGAAAGCTGGGCTGAGGATGTCAGCTACTGAGGATAGAGGGCAGAACAGAGGATTACAAACAAACAGGCGATGGACCAGTGCTGAAAGCCCACCCTCCTTCTCTGAATCTTTCAGTTACGGACCACAACAAACCCTTTCTATTGCTGAACTAGTGTGGGCTGTGTTTTCTGTCACTTGTAATGGAAAATAACCTAAGTGGTAAAGCAAGGGAGTTTCCCGGAGCAATTTTCACCCAGCTTCCTGGTAAGCCCCTTCAGTCCTCTTTCCCCATCACCCCTGAAATCCTAGTGTCTAACCCCACGGTTCGGGATATCCCTAGGGTCCTGGGCCTGACCCATTCACATCCCGGGGCGGGACTGGACACTTGGGAATGATACAGAGAGCGGCAGGCAGACTACCAACCCAGGAAGTTGCGGCAGCCCCCAGCCGTGGAGCCCCGCACCCAGCTTCCTTGGTGGACCGTCACCTCCCATCTGTGGACAACATCCTCCTCCAGGGCATCAGGGGTGAGGTTGCAGACCTCTACTTTGTCAAAATGGGCCTTGAAGTCGCTAAACGCCATCCTGCAACAAAGTGGAGGGACACAGTGTGTAGATGGTGGTGATGACGTGTCCCGTTCCTTTTTTGATTCGTTCATTCATTCATTCATTCATTCATTCACTCATCTAACAAATGGTGATCGAGTGCCTGCCCCTGTCCTCAAGGAGTGGGGAGACTTCAGGTGTGGGAAGAAAGAAAAGACAAAAAAGGTCAAGAAAAGTTACGAAAAGGATTAAGAAGGTAAGAAATCAAAGGTAAAAATATAGTTTGAGTATATGTAAGTACTACAAAGAAAATAAGGCCGGGTGAAGGAAGAGGGTGTCGGGTGGGGTGCTGTTTCCAGCAGGGAGCTGAGGGAAGGCCTCAGTGTTCGTGTGGAGACCCGAAGGACACTCTTCTTTGCTGGGCCTCCCACTGTGGATTTTCTCACTTCCTCTGCCTCATTTCTCCCCCTTCCCTAGCTGGACCCCAGCTACAGACAGCCTCTCAAACTGCTTTCTACCGCCTGCTCCCACTTGGCAGTTTGTGTGAGGATACTAATCCCGGATCTCAGTTTTTTTTTCTACATGTTTTGTTCTTTTCACAGAACTCATTATTAACCCAGAGCTTTTGTACTCAAAATTCAAGGTACGTGTGTCTTTAATTTCCAATTCCACAGCTTGTCAATCACTCAAGCACCCTGTATGTTTTCCACAAATTTCTTCTACTTTCAGCTTCATGTTTCCTGAGGTAGAGCTGGCTAGCAGGTCACCCAAGCCCACCCACCAGGGACTGCACACTACCTTTCCAACTAAGGTGGGCTGTAAGCAGTAGATGTGTTACTTCTGAGCTAAGGCTTTTAGTGTTGCATTATAGCCAATTCCGTTACCACCCCCCTGCACTAGCCTCTGACCCATTAGTCGAGAGAGTGTCTTGGAAAACTGAGGCCGGATGGAATGATATCTGTAAAGCTCTCTTGGGGAGTGTCTCAGGTGACTGGGACCTATTGGAATGATAATAGTTATCTCCCCTGGGAGGACACAGTAACAGTGTCTTGGGGCTATGTGGAGGAAGTGTGAAGGCACAGGATGTGTTGGAACACAAAGGGAATGCTAATGGAAAAGGTCTTAAGGCACACACAAGTCACGGGTTACAAATTGATTGACAGCAGTAAAACAGTTTCACTTCTTTTCAAATTTCTCAATAAAAGCTATGCGCTGACCCGATTCTGGGCTCACTCAGTCTTCTCTGGCTGAGTCCCTTGGTCTCGCTCTTAATCTTACTTTTGTCTCTTGCTCTTATTCAATCTGCGTCGCCCCTTAAGAGAAACCTGTATGCCCTTGCCACGCTGGACGTGACATTTTAGGAAGTGGGGATGTCTTCTTGAATCTTTCCTTTTCTTCCCTCTTCTGTGGGCATTCTGCAGATGACCGTGTGGACCCCAGGGGATGTTGGAGCCACATAATGAAGGAGCTTGGGTTCCTGAATCATTGCGTAGACAGAACCACTCACAGAATAGAGATGTCCTCGTGGACTGTTACCATGAGTGAGAAGTAAACGTTATCGTGTTTGAGTCCTTTATACATGTTAAGTCTATTAGTCATAGCAGCTGGTGTTACCCTAAGCCATTGGTTCTTGAATTAGGAGCCACCATAACAGAATTCTAAAATATGTGCTATCAGTGTAACAGTTGGGCAGCACGTTGCAAGGAAATACTGGAGTTGGAAAATAAATATCCATGCTATGAATGGCAAAATATTTGCTAAAACTATTGTCTGCAAAAATATGGAAGGCAGAACAAATAAATACCTGTTGAGGCTGCACTCTAGGGGAAAAGAATGAGGAAAGCTGGGGTAGTTTCTGGGTTTTGCTTGTTGTATTTAATATGGTATTAGGAGAGAGGAGCTCAGGCCAGAGTTGACTGGTTCAAACACACAAAAGGGAGCAGAGTCAGACATCTAAAAGCTGTGGTCTTTCAGGGTTGGAAGAGCCAACTGTGTCTGCAGCCCACAGGAAGAAATACGACTGACAAACGCTCCTAAAGATGAAGGCGCATTAAAGCTTTCAGTTAAATACAGAGGTCCAGCCCTGTGGAAAGCCCAGAAGGCACGTTCCCTCCCACTTAGGTCTATATCTTTAGATGTTCGCAAGGAAACGGCTTCAAGGGTCCCTGCCATTCAGACGGGCCCGTGAGCAGCAGGCTGCCTGTCCTCAAATTCACCATGTGACCTGGACGACAGAGAGCTAGAGGAAGGGTGCTGGGCGGAGACCAGAGGCTCTGCCCCGTGTTCTCTGGACCATCTAACTCCCCTGAGACTCAAAACAAACCTGGAGATGGAGCAAGTCCCCAAAACATAACAGATTAATTTCTCTGCCAACCTGGGTGTATAGAAGGGATTTCAGGCAGAAGTATTTGATTTACAAGGAAAGGAAGGAAGGAAGGAAAGAAGGAAGGAAGGAAGGAAGGAAGGAAGAAGAAAGGTGATGTTCATTGCACCCAGGGCTGCAGGGCACACTCATAACTGTGCTTAATACAGAAGAGAAAACAGACAAACACGGTACCAGAACTCCCCATCATCCAGAGCTGTGTGACACAGGCGCTGTTGCTCAGCTGGGCCAACAGAACGCCACTCGGAAGAACTAGGAGGAAACAAAGTCAGGGTTAGGTTGAGGGTCATGAGCAACAGCTGAAACCACAGTGGCCCTGGGTGGAGGAAATCTGTCCCAGGAAGTGGGGTGTGCAGTGCCAGGCTCTACAAGTCTACTCATGATGGGAGGTGTCTCATGAACTCTGGTGTCAATATTTCTGTTCTTTTCATCTCTGCCAGGAGAGGGAGGTGCAGCCCTTCCCTCCTTTGATGTTGGTCTGGTCTGGTCTGAATCGGTCTCTGCCAATGTGGAGAAGGTGGAAGCTACTGAGAGTTCAGGGGGCAGGGACGAGAGCAGCGGCGGGGACCATGGCAGTCCTGGAGGTGTGTGCTGTGCCCTCAGGCTGGAGCCTGGTTAATAAAGCCACTGACACACTGGCGGTTGGTGACCTGGGGCCTTTGTCAGAGCTGAGGACAATCACCTGCTCAGTGTTAGTCTAGTTCTAGACTTCCTGCAGGACTCCCCAGAGCCCCATGAGCTGCGGGTGGGTGGAAGGGGGGACAGCAGAAGACTCGGCAGAAGGAGGAGGGAGTGGGGGAGAGACAGCTCAGGGTGGGCCCTGCCTGAGCACACCAAAACACACCTGATCCCAGTCATCTGAGCCACTTCCCAAGGGAGAGGAAGGAACACATACCAGAAAGGCAGACCTTCCTTGATAATTGGGGGCCAAATAAATAACCCTGGTTAGCTGCTCTGTAGTGTGTCCATTTCCTCTTTCTCTCTACTGGGCCACTGGGCCTCTGGCCAATGATCAGTGACCATTAGAGAGGACCCTCTAATGACCTGCTTGGCAATATTTCAGAGATTCTCGCACCAAAATTATTCGTTGCCACCCCACCACCACGCAAAGTGCACGCGCATACACACACACACACACAAACAAACACAGACACACACAAAGAAACACACAGACACACAGACACACAACACACACAAAGGCACACCATGCACACACACACCACATATACACACACATACATACACACACACACAGAGACACAGACAAACACACACATACATGTACACACACACACACACACACACACTGCTCACTAGAGCTACTCATGACTGGAGACGAAGCCTTTCACAATGCCATGCGGATGTGCTAATATATTCACTGACATAAATATAATTATATGAAAGTTGAAGAGCAGCTTTAAGACTCTCTTTTGAGAATCAAGTTTGACTGCAAGGTGGGCCCGAGGGCTGAAGAGAGGCGCCTAGAGCAGGACAGGACCCTGCATAAGAGCCAGTGGACAATAGAGACCAACCGTCCCTCCTTCCCACATCTGCACGAACCAGCCTGGCCCCTTGCGCCCCAGAACAGTAAGAAGCGGGGTGAGCCAGAGAGATGGGTGGGGACTGACCTATCACTCCAGGACCCATTCCACTCAACCTGGCCCCAAGGGTTCCGAACTCTGATGAGCTTGATTTTCTGGCTCCGGAAGCTTACCTAGAAGAGAAAAGCATTGGGGAAATGTGAAATGATAAATGCATCCATGAGCTCCAACCATGAGCTGGCTTTACCGAAAAAACCTCTTGACTACAACACACTAAAGACATGTCGACACTTATCAGCTTTCCCCGCCCTTGGAACTTCCTAATTCCCGTTGAACATAATGGCCAACATTGCCAGTGATGGGCTATTGACCGCCCCAGAATGGTTACGCTGAATCTGGGAAATAAAGTAGAATTGTGATAAGCGAGAAATTAGTCCACATGAATCATCACATGACTGAGTTCTCTCTCTAGGCCGGATTATCCCAGAGGCGGGTCAAGTATTACCCATCTGTGTGCACCCAGCACAGCGAATGGTCGAGTTCTCAGCGTGCCCGTGGAGCTGCTGAGTCATGTGCCCATACCGACATTTCCGTGCATCCTATGATGTTCACACAACGACTCGCCTAACGACACACTTCTCAGATGCTTCCGTGTCGTTAAGGGGTGCGTGGCTGTACTGCGTTTTATTCATCTTTAGCATCTTACTCACCGATGAATGATATGAATGTAAGCACATGCTGGGAATTTAAACAACAGTAAGCAAAAAACACTTCTAAGTATTCTAAATCCAATACTCTCCTCCAGTGCATTTTAGAAAAATGTTGGAGGAAATAGAGCAGGAGTAAAAGACTTCTATCCATCAGCGAACCAGGAATCTTAGCTCTCAGAATTCTTTATCCCCACTCACTCGGCTCACTCGGCACAGATTGTATTTTGATGTGTAAAAACAATTTAAGTTAGTATAACCTCTCCAGAATTCAAGATGCGGCTTGCACCTCACCGTTGAAGAGGTTCATTGACTGAACCATGCAGGGAAGGTAAAGCCCTGGCTGGAAGAGAGAAGGCAAAAGCAACTGAACAGGCTGTCATATGAGATGGAAGGCTTCTGTTGTTACTTGGAATAATATTTAGATCTAAAATTAAAAACCACATGCCTACTCAGGTGAGTGATTGGCAGGGCATGTGAGGAAGGGGGAAAGGAGCCTACGCAAGTAGCTACAATTCTAAAGAATCCACGTGCCTCTCCCCTCTTGACTGCTCTGCTCACGGCCCCTGGTGAGCGAGGGGAGCAGGCGCTTGCTTTCACACTCTTCACTCCCACAGAGAGTGTTCCCCAAAGCACAGGCAGCAACAGGAGGACACCAGGGGTGCCTGTGTCCTCTACAAACCAGGTTTGAGGCCCATCTAAGAGACACAGACAAGAGAACCAAGACAGGTTTTTGGAGTTCATTGGAGTTGAACCTAGGAGGGTGTAGCCCTGGGCTTCTTGGCTTCTTCTTTCATCATCTTCTTCCCTTCCCTGCCCCATGCACCCCTTGAGGAGCCCCTATCCAAGCCAGGCCGTCACTGGAAGTCAGAATGGTGCTGCGTGGGTCTAGGTGGGCCCCAGAGATCAGTTCCGCCCTGGACCACAGCTGCTGACAAGAGGTCTTGTGATGGCTGATTATATGTGTCCACTTGACTGAGCCACGGGGGTCCAGATATTTGGTTACACATTACTCTGGGCATGTCTGCAGAGGGTGTTTCTGGATGAGATTAGCATTTGAATCAGTGGACTGAGTAATGCAGATGGCCCTCCCCACTGTCAGTGGGCTCCATCTAATCAATTGAAGGTCTAAACAGAACGAAAAGGCTGAGGAAGGAACAATTCACTCTCTCCCTGACTGTGAGCTGGGATTTTGGGCTCCTTCTGTTCTAGGCCTAGGACTTGTATCATTGGTTCTCCCGGCTCTCTGGCTTTTACACTTGGACTAGAGCTATACCACCAGCTGTCCTGGGCCTCCAGCTTACAGATGCAATCACAGGACTTCTCAGCCTCCATCATCACATGAGCCAATTCCTTATAATGAACCTCAGTCTCTCTCTGTCCCGCTCTCTCGCTCTCTCTCACTCTCTCTCTCTCTCTCCTCCTTCCCTCCCTCCCTTCCTCCCTCCCTCTATCACTTCCTCTGTCTCTCTCTCTCTCTCTCTCTCTCTCTCTCTCTCTCTCTCTCTCTCTCTCTCATGGCTTCTGTTCTCTGGATAACCCTGACTATTACAGGACTGGATTTAGGGGAACCCGGTTCTCATACCTGCTAAACAAGTTTGGTACCGTGCTGGAGCCTCATTTCTCTCTTTCCTGTTTGGCTGTTTTGAATTCCAGCCTGCCTCTTTAGATGAGACATTCTTTGAAATGTCTGAAAGTGTGGTATGAACTGTGGTGCGCTGAACAAGCATAAGGAACTAGTGTTGCTGAGTCTGTCCTTGTGCCCTGTCAGCTGGGGGTTATGTCACCCACCTGGCCAACCTCTGTCACAGTCTAGGCATGACCCTTAACAAGACCAATCCTTGTACCCCATCAGCAGGGAGTCATGTCACCCACCTGGTCAATCGCTGTCACAGTGTAGGCATGACCCTTAATAAGACCAAACGGAGTCCGGGCTTCGGATTCTGCAGCATTTCTGATCTGAAACACGGAAAGAGCAGCGTTGGGCCCACTGTGTGAGTCAGGCCTCTGCTGCCCAGCCAGACTGAGCTCTGTGGCTGGCCGGGTACTTTCTGCTCCTCCAGGTGAGGGCCACGTGTCTGGGGCATAGCAAATGGGTACACAGGACACCCTTCAGAGGGTTGCAGTGACATTCAGCAATTCCCAGTCTCTTCTGGTGAGGAGGCCCTTGTTCCCAGCTCAGACTCCAGTGATGACTTCACTTTTTTGCCCCCAAAAAGGACAACTTGACGGTCCTCTCATGTAGCATGAGAGGAAAGCACAATCGCACACACGGAAGACGTGTGTAACAGTGTCACATACAACTCTATGTCCAAACTGGAAAACTCAGAGGAAGTGGATTATTTACAAGCAAACAATGAAGTCCTAAGGTTAATCTAAGAGGAGATTGAAAATTTGAATCGGTTTCAAAAATAGACTAGGTAGAATTCTGTGTGTGTGCTTGTATACATAAAGGAAAAATTTTAAGTGCTGTTAGGTTTCTATCTACTGATACATTTTTTCATGATATATGAAGCGAAATAAACAAGTTTCAGAAAAGTACATGGTAAAGTTCCATTTAGTGAAATGAGACCAACCCGCCCCGTGCTTGTGCACCTATGCGGATGCCTGCTGTAGGAGCGCGGAGAGAGTGTAAAGGGCACGCAGTAGGCGTCACAGGGGCGCTGAGGGAGGGCTCGACACGTGCCTTTCCGTATCTCGGGATCTTTCCTCCTGATACAGCAAGTATGTCTTACCTTTGCAATTTTCAAAACATTAAATAGAAACTCTTGCTTTAGTTACAATAAACACTGACCCCTCCCCCATAAGTCACGCCTCTCCTGTGTGTGGCCAGGGCACTGGCTCAGGCCCCTGGCCCAGCACAGAGCCTGGACGTGAGCGACTTACATCGATGGAGCAGCCCACCAGAGAGCCCCTCTTCAAGGCCTTCTCTAGGATCTCATAGAAGTTCTCTGGGGCCTCCTTAGTCATGAAGGTCTCTGCCACGCCCCCGGTGAAGTCCTCCATAGCCTCGATGGTGCTGCCCCCCTTCAGGGCCTCATAGCTTCCATTCAGCCTGCAAGGGTGGCAAGAGAGCGGGAGACCGCTGCAGGGAAAGGGGAAGACCACCAGGTGGCGCCCTCAGACAGTTTTCTAACTTTTCCAACCAAGTGAGCATTGCCTCCCAGGGCTGCCCTGGCTGGCTGGCTGGCAGCTGGCGTGGAAGGAGGACTGCCCGGAAGTGCGATCAGACCGTGAGAGAGGCAGTGGACCCTGTGGTGGGGACCCTGGTCCCCGACTGGCTGCAGGTTCAAGGTCCAGTCCGCAGGGATCTTGAGCCAACTCTGTGCTTTAGTTTCCTAATTTGCAAAACGTGCCCGTTGTGCTCTGCCTCCTAGGGCTGCTGTGAGGGTTCAGGTGGAACGGGGCCTGGCCATGAAGGTGTTAGTTGTACAGAGACTGAGAGTTGAGGGCCTTCCTCTTCCTTTATGGCCTCATATTAGTGTGAGTTTGCTGGCATGTATATTGGGTTGTCAGAAAAGTCATGACGCATTTTTGCAACGAAAAACAAAAAAATATGTCATGACTTTTCCGACAACCCAATACATATATATATATATATATATATATATATATATATATATATATATACACACACACAAACTCTGCTTCAATTGTAAAGTAAATATTTCCATTTAGAAGTTTTAGATTTACAGAAAAATTCTTGACTGGCATACAGAGTTCCCACAGACCCTCACCCAGCGTCCCTCTCCTGAACACCTTGCGTTAGTAGGAACGTCTGTCACAGTGACTGAACCAATACACCCTCATTAGGTAAAGTCCATACGTCACTCAGATTTCCTTAGTTTTCACCTAATATGCTTTTCTGTCCCAGGATCCCATGTTGGATATCACATGACATTCAGTCCTCAGCTCTCCTCAGCCTCCCTTTGGCTGTGACAGCCTCTCAGGCTCGCCTTGTTGGTGATGACCAGGACAGTTCTGAGGAGGGCTGTCAGGGGTTTTGTAGGACGCCCCTCAACTGGGACCTGTCTGCTGATTTTTATCATGATTAGACTGGGGTCCTGGGTTTTGGGGAGGAAGACCGCAGAGGTAAAGTGCCCTTCTCATCACATCATATCAAGGCACATACTGATGTCATGGCTATCGCTGTGATGTTGACCTTGGTCACCTGGATGAGGTCGTGTCTGTCAGGTTTCTCCACTGTCAAGTTCCCCTCCCACTCCCCTTCATACTTCCTCTTTGGAAGGGTTCGTTATGTGCAGCCCTCACTTAAGGAGTAGGGGGCTACGTTACCCTTCCCTGAAGCCAGACAGTCTACACAAATTACATGGAATTCTGCATGGGAGATTTGTCTCTTCTCCCCTGTTCATTTATGCATCACTTATTTATATCAGCATGGACTCGTGGATTTATCTGATACTTTGGTTTATAAACCAGCACTACCTTACTTATTTTGTTGCTCAATTTGTTCCAACTTTGGCTATTTTCAGGTCTGTTGGCTCTTGTGTCCCTTTGAAATGCCCCCCTCAGTGCATGTGTGTTTAAAGCATGTTTCACTTTCTGCTACTACTAGATACTCTGGGCCCCTCTTATGAGTTCCTGCCCTAGAATCAGCCTTGTCTCCAAGGCTATGGTTCCTTTATTGGAGGATGATTTTAGAGACCAAGACCCTCCGGAGAGGTGGGAGTGCTTGTGGCTACGGGTTGTCATGGCTTCTGGGCCCTGCCAGCTGACAAAGCATATACGTGTGTATACTAACCCATGTATGTATACACATATCTGTATGTAACTGTTTCTGTTAAACTAAACAGGAGTTCACACTGATGTCTCCAGCTCTAACTCATGACCACAGGCATCATTCTAGCCTCCTCTCCTTGCTTCTCTGTTACCTTTCACTCCAATAGTGAGACACCTGGTTCCCACCAGCTGCCAACCATTTACTTCATTGTTCAATTCAGCGTATCTGTACGGTGGTATTAGAATTATTGTCCTGTGCCTGTGCAGGGAACAACTTCACCAGCGAGGGTACAATGCTTATGGACAATTTCTCCTGCTTTTACTCTTACAGACTGTGTTCACCTCCCGAGTTACCTAGGTCAGCACCTTACTCTCCTCCCTCTTCAATGAGTTGGTCCCATAGGTTTGTGATACAGTTAGATTATTTTTTCACAGTCTGCCTTTCATGCTGGGTCCCCCATCCTCCAAGATGACTTCTTAAGTTTGCATATGTTAAGATTCATTCTTTGTGCTGTAACGTTCTGTGGGTTTGGTAAATGCATGGTGTCATGTGTTCACCATTACAGGGTCATACGAGCCCTTCCATGCCCCTAAAAATACTCCCTGTGCTCCACCTTCTCACTCAGCCCCCTCACCTCATCCCCTGCAACCACTGATTTTTACTGTCTCCGTGGTTTTGCCTTTTCCAGAATGTCTCACAGTTGGAATCACACACTGTGTAGCTTTCCAGTTGGCTCCTTTTTAGCAATGCATTTAGCAGTATGCATCAAGATTTGTCCATGTCTTTTTGTGGCTTGGTAGTTCATTTCTCTTTATTACTGAATAATAAGCCATGGTCCAGATGTAGCACAGTTCGTGTATCCATTCATCTTGAAGGACATCTTGATTGCTTCCAGTTTGGGGCAATAATGAATAAAGCTGCTATAAACATCTGCGTGCAGGTTATTGTGTAGACATGAGTTTTTAACCAAACTCATTCACCAAGGAGAGCAATTGCTAGATCACTCAGTAAGACTATACTTAGTTTTGAAAGAAACTGTCAAGTTGTCTTCCGTAATGGCTGCACCATTTTGCATTCCCACCAGCAATGAATGAGGGTCCCTGTTACTCCACGTCCTTGTGAACAATTGGCAATGCAGGTGTGTAGTAACGATTCATTATTGCTTTAATTTGCAATGTCCTAGTGACAAATGATGTGGAGCATTTTTTCGTGCGCTCGTTTTTCATCTGTGCTTCAATTATGGGGAGGTGTCCTCCCAACTATTTTTGGTCTCTCTTAATGACTAATACATAAACAAAGGTTTTCTTTTTAGAAAACCTATTCTTTCCTCTTTCCTCTGAGGGAACGGCTTCATCCTTCACATCCCACTGAATCCTGCTGGCTGGATTTCCTGGCCCAAACCTTTCCCACAGCTGTGGATGAGCGTTTCCTTGTGCTGGGCTCACTGAGAATGACGCCACCTCCCGCCCAGCACAGGGATGGCCCTAGAAAGGGTCCTGCCGAGGACCCCTGTTGTCGGGGGGACTCCCCACAGGGCAGAGTGAGGCTGGTTTTCCCTGCTGTGCCTGGAAGGAGTGGCCGTTTGCCCACCTCCAGCGTGTCCAGTGGCACTGAGGTTGTCCACAGAGCTGGGTGGGCAAGGGGGCACCCTTGGGTCCTCTTTGATGGCTTGAGTCTCATCCTGCTGATTTCGGGGTTAGTTGAACCCCAACTGGCCTTCATTTTATTTTGCTCCTTGGACGCCCCACCTGGAGGTTCCTGGTCCCTGTCTCGGGGGAAAGGATTCCCACGGCTTGAAGATCTAGGCTGAGCCTGAGAGGGACTCTTGGGTCATCTCTGCTGTCACCAGAGCACAGGACTCCAGCCACTGTGGCCTTTCACTGACAAGCCAATGGAAAGGAAATCGAGATGCCAAGGGTCCTGAGGTCAAAATGCCTGCCTTGGTTCTAGTCGCATGAGCTTCCGAGACTCGCCAAACCCATGGGGACAGAAAGTAGAAGGGGGTGCCAGGCGCTGGGAGGGGAATGGGGTCAGAGTTCAGTTTCACAAGATGAAGAGCTCTAGAGGTGATGGTGGGGATGGTAGCACAACAATGTGAATGCACCTAATGCCACTCAACTGTCCACTTANCATCATCACATGAGCCAATTCCTTATAATGAACCTCAGTCTGACTCAGTCCCGCAGTCGCGCTATCTCTCACTCCCTCTCTCTCTCTCCTACTTCCCTCCCGTGCTTCCTCCCTCACTCTATCACTCTCTCTCTCTCTCTCTCTCTCTCTCTCTCTCTCTCTCTCTCTCTCTCTCTCTACCTCCCATGGCTTCTGTTCTCTGGATAACCCTGACTATTACAGGACTGGATTTAGGGGAACCCGGTTCTCATACCTGCTAAACAAGTTTGGTACCGTGCTGGAGCCTCATTTCTCTCTTTCCTGTTTGGCTGTTTTGAATTCCAGCCTGCCTCTTTAGATGAGACATTCTTTGAAATGTCTGAAAGTGTGGTATGAACTGTGGTGCGCTGAACAAGCATAAGGAACTAGTGTTGCTGAGTCTGTCCTTGTGCCCTGTCAGCTGGGGGTTATGTCACCCACCTGGCCAACCTCTGTCACAGTCTAGGCATGACCCTTAACAAGACCAATCCTTGTACCCCATCAGCAGGGAGTCATGTCACCCACCTGGTCAATCGCTGTCACAGTGTAGGCATGACCCTTAATAAGACCAAACGGAGTCCGGGCTTCGGATTCTGCAGCATTTCTGATCTGAAACACGGAAAGAGCAGCGTTGGGCCCACTGTGTGAGTCAGGCCTCTGCTGCCCAGCCAGACTGAGCTCTGTGGCTGGCCGGGTACTTTCTGCTCCTCCAGGTGAGGGCCACGTGTCTGGGGCATAGCAAATGGGTACACAGGACACCCTTCAGAGGGTTGCAGTGACATTCAGCAATTCCCAGTCTCTTCTGGTGAGGAGGCCCTTGTTCCCAGCTCAGACTCCAGTGATGACTTCACTTTTTTGCCCCCAAAAAGGACAACTTGACGGTCCTCTCATGTAGCATGAGAGGAAAGCACAATCGCACACACGGAAGACGTGTGTAACAGTGTCACATACAACTCTATGTCCAAACTGGAAAACTCAGAGGAAGTGGATTATTTACAAGCAAACAATGAAGTCCTAAGGTTAATCTAAGAGGAGATTGAAAATTTGAATCGGTTTCAAAAATAGACTAGGTAGAATTCTGTGTGTGTGCTTGTATACATAAAGGAAAAATTTTAAGTGCTGTTAGGTTTCTATCTACTGATACATTTTTTCATGATATATGAAGCGAAATAAACAAGTTTCAGAAAAGTACATGGTAAAGTTCCATTTAGTGAAATGAGACCAACCCGCCCCGTGCTTGTGCACCTATGCGGATGCCTGCTGTAGGAGCGCGGAGAGAGTGTAAAGGGCACGCAGTAGGCGTCACAGGGGCGCTGAGGGAGGGCTCGACACGTGCCTTTCCGTATCTCGGGATCTTTCCTCCTGATACAGCAAGTATGTCTTACCTTTGCAATTTTCAAAACATTAAATAGAAACTCTTGCTTTAGTTACAATAAACACTGACCCCTCCCCCATAAGTCACGCCTCTCCTGTGTGTGGCCAGGGCACTGGCTCAGGCCCCTGGCCCAGCACAGAGCCTGGACGTGAGCGACTTACATCGATGGAGCAGCCCACCAGAGAGCCCCTCTTCAAGGCCTTCTCTAGGATCTCATAGAAGTTCTCTGGGGCCTCCTTAGTCATGAAGGTCTCTGCCACGCCCCCGGTGAAGTCCTCCATAGCCTCGATGGTGCTGCCCCCCTTCAGGGCCTCATAGCTTCCATTCAGCCTGCAAGGGTGGCAAGAGAGCGGGAGACCGCTGCAGGGAAAGGGGAAGACCACCAGGTGGCGCCCTCAGACAGTTTTCTAACTTTTCCAACCAAGTGAGCATTGCCTCCCAGGGCTGCCCTGGCTGGCTGGCTGGCAGCTGGCGTGGAAGGAGGACTGCCCGGAAGTGCGATCAGACCGTGAGAGAGGCAGTGGACCCTGTGGTGGGGACCCTGGTCCCCGACTGGCTGCAGGTTCAAGGTCCAGTCCGCAGGGATCTTGAGCCAACTCTGTGCTTTAGTTTCCTAATTTGCAAAACGTGCCCGTTGTGCTCTGCCTCCTAGGGCTGCTGTGAGGGTTCAGGTGGAACGGGGCCTGGCCATGAAGGTGTTAGTTGTACAGAGACTGAGAGTTGAGGGCCTTCCTCTTCCTTTATGGCCTCATATTAGTGTGAGTTTGCTGGCATGTATATTGGGTTGTCAGAAAAGTCATGACGCATTTTTGCAACGAAAAACAAAAAAATATGTCATGACTTTTCCGACAACCCAATACATATATATATATATATATATATATATATATATATATATATATATACACACACACAAACTCTGCTTCAATTGTAAAGTAAATATTTCCATTTAGAAGTTTTAGATTTACAGAAAAATTCTTGACTGGCATACAGAGTTCCCACAGACCCTCACCCAGCGTCCCTCTCCTGAACACCTTGCGTTAGTAGGAACGTCTGTCACAGTGACTGAACCAATACACCCTCATTAGGTAAAGTCCATACGTCACTCAGATTTCCTTAGTTTTCACCTAATATGCTTTTCTGTCCCAGGATCCCATGTTGGATATCACATGACATTCAGTCCTCAGCTCTCCTCAGCCTCCCTTTGGCTGTGACAGCCTCTCAGGCTCGCCTTGTTGGTGATGACCAGGACAGTTCTGAGGAGGGCTGTCAGGGGTTTTGTAGGACGCCCCTCAACTGGGACCTGTCTGCTGATTTTTATCATGATTAGACTGGGGTCCTGGGTTTTGGGGAGGAAGACCGCAGAGGTAAAGTGCCCTTCTCATCACATCATATCAAGGCACATACTGATGTCATGGCTATCGCTGTGATGTTGACCTTGGTCACCTGGATGAGGTCGTGTCTGTCAGGTTTCTCCACTGTCAAGTTCCCCTCCCACTCCCCTTCATACTTCCTCTTTGGAAGGGTTCGTTATGTGCAGCCCTCACTTAAGGAGTAGGGGGCTACGTTACCCTTCCCTGAAGCCAGACAGTCTACACAAATTACATGGAATTCTGCATGGGAGATTTGTCTCTTCTCCCCTGTTCATTTATGCATCACTTATTTATATCAGCATGGACTCGTGGATTTATCTGATACTTTGGTTTATAAACCAGCACTACCTTACTTATTTTGTTGCTCAATTTGTTCCAACTTTGGCTATTTTCAGGTCTGTTGGCTCTTGTGTCCCTTTGAAATGCCCCCCTCAGTGCATGTGTGTTTAAAGCATGTTTCACTTTCTGCTACTACTAGATACTCTGGGCCCCTCTTATGAGTTCCTGCCCTAGAATCAGCCTTGTCTCCAAGGCTATGGTTCCTTTATTGGAGGATGATTTTAGAGACCAAGACCCTCCGGAGAGGTGGGAGTGCTTGTGGCTACGGGTTGTCATGGCTTCTGGGCCCTGCCAGCTGACAAAGCATATACGTGTGTATACTAACCCATGTATGTATACACATATCTGTATGTAACTGTTTCTGTTAAACTAAACAGGAGTTCACACTGATGTCTCCAGCTCTAACTCATGACCACAGGCATCATTCTAGCCTCCTCTCCTTGCTTCTCTGTTACCTTTCACTCCAATAGTGAGACACCTGGTTCCCACCAGCTGCCAACCATTTACTTCATTGTTCAATTCAGCGTATCTGTACGGTGGTATTAGAATTATTGTCCTGTGCCTGTGCAGGGAACAACTTCACCAGCGAGGGTACAATGCTTATGGACAATTTCTCCTGCTTTTACTCTTACAGACTGTGTTCACCTCCCGAGTTACCTAGGTCAGCACCTTACTCTCCTCCCTCTTCAATGAGTTGGTCCCATAGGTTTGTGATACAGTTAGATTATTTTTTCACAGTCTGCCTTTCATGCTGGGTCCCCCATCCTCCAAGATGACTTCTTAAGTTTGCATATGTTAAGATTCATTCTTTGTGCTGTAACGTTCTGTGGGTTTGGTAAATGCATGGTGTCATGTGTTCACCATTACAGGGTCATACGAGCCCTTCCATGCCCCTAAAAATACTCCCTGTGCTCCACCTTCTCACTCAGCCCCCTCACCTCATCCCCTGCAACCACTGATTTTTACTGTCTCCGTGGTTTTGCCTTTTCCAGAATGTCTCACAGTTGGAATCACACACTGTGTAGCTTTCCAGTTGGCTCCTTTTTAGCAATGCATTTAGCAGTATGCATCAAGATTTGTCCATGTCTTTTTGTGGCTTGGTAGTTCATTTCTCTTTATTACTGAATAATAAGCCATGGTCCAGATGTAGCACAGTTCGTGTATCCATTCATCTTGAAGGACATCTTGATTGCTTCCAGTTTGGGGCAATAATGAATAAAGCTGCTATAAACATCTGCGTGCAGGTTATTGTGTAGACATGAGTTTTTAACCAAACTCATTCACCAAGGAGAGCAATTGCTAGATCACTCAGTAAGACTATACTTAGTTTTGAAAGAAACTGTCAAGTTGTCTTCCGTAATGGCTGCACCATTTTGCATTCCCACCAGCAATGAATGAGGGTCCCTGTTACTCCACGTCCTTGTGAACAATTGGCAATGCAGGTGTGTAGTAACGATTCATTATTGCTTTAATTTGCAATGTCCTAGTGACAAATGATGTGGAGCATTTTTTCGTGCGCTCGTTTTTCATCTGTGCTTCAATTATGGGGAGGTGTCCTCCCAACTATTTTTGGTCTCTCTTAATGACTAATACATAAACAAAGGTTTTCTTTTTAGAAAACCTATTCTTTCCTCTTTCCTCTGAGGGAACGGCTTCATCCTTCACATCCCACTGAATCCTGCTGGCTGGATTTCCTGGCCCAAACCTTTCCCACAGCTGTGGATGAGCGTTTCCTTGTGCTGGGCTCACTGAGAATGACGCCACCTCCCGCCCAGCACAGGGATGGCCCTAGAAAGGGTCCTGCCGAGGACCCCTGTTGTCGGGGGGACTCCCCACAGGGCAGAGTGAGGCTGGTTTTCCCTGCTGTGCCTGGAAGGAGTGGCCGTTTGCCCACCTCCAGCGTGTCCAGTGGCACTGAGGTTGTCCACAGAGCTGGGTGGGCAAGGGGGCACCCTTGGGTCCTCTTTGATGGCTTGAGTCTCATCCTGCTGATTTCGGGGTTAGTTGAACCCCAACTGGCCTTCATTTTATTTTGCTCCTTGGACGCCCCACCTGGAGGTTCCTGGTCCCTGTCTCGGGGGAAAGGATTCCCACGGCTTGAAGATCTAGGCTGAGCCTGAGAGGGACTCTTGGGTCATCTCTGCTGTCACCAGAGCACAGGACTCCAGCCACTGTGGCCTTTCACTGACAAGCCAATGGAAAGGAAATCGAGATGCCAAGGGTCCTGAGGTCAAAATGCCTGCCTTGGTTCTAGTCGCATGAGCTTCCGAGACTCGCCAAACCCATGGGGACAGAAAGTAGAAGGGGGTGCCAGGCGCTGGGAGGGGAATGGGGTCAGAGTTCAGTTTCACAAGATGAAGAGCTCTAGAGGTGATGGTGGGGATGGTAGCACAACAATGTGAATGCACCTAATGCCACTCAACTGTCCACTTACAAATGGTTAAGATGATCAATTTTACCACCATTTTTTTTAAAAATGGGGAATTGCAGGAGGGGAACAGTGAGCCATCCGGGCAGCAGCTCAGCTCAAGGTGCTGAGTTCAGTCTTAGTTGCGAGAGGGCAGTCTTGTCGTTAGGAGCACCTGCTCTCACCAGCTGAGCCATCCTGCCACCTGTTGGCGGCTCAGCGACAGCTCAGCTCGAGCGCAGCATCACTGGCCCATGTGGGAATTGAACCGGTGGCCCTGTTGCTCAGAGCTCATGCCCTTAAGCTAACTCTTAATCAACTGAGCCACTCAGCCAGCCCCACAATTTTTTTTAAAGTAAAAAACAAGGAGTATTCTGAAGGGAAAAAATTTGATGTTGCTATCCAGGTGTCACAGCCCCGATGTTTGAGCCGTCACAGGGTTTGGAGGGAAGTCTGGAGAACCAGGTGTTCTCAATACACCCTGCATTTCCCTCCGCTTACCCTCCCAGCTCTTCCAAAAGCCAGTTTCCTGATGCAGGGAGAGCAAGGGGCCATGGTCACTACTAGGACACGACAGGAAACTGTTCCGGCCACTCTTCCCCAGGCCAGCAGGAAGCTGTTCCAGCTGCTCATTCTCAGGCCGACAGGCCCCGCCATGCCTACCTGTGAACCCAGAGCCTGGCCTTGGCCCCACAGAAGCTGCATGAAAAGGCCCCGGGCCTGGAGCCCGGGCCCCGGCAGGGGCCTGCGCAGTGAGACACTCACTTGGCGTAGGCTTTCTCCAGCAGGGCACTCCAGAACTCGTTGTGGTCGGCCGAGTGCAGGAAGACCAAGCGGTCCCTGAAGGTGGGCAGCCGGTCATCGATCACCACATCCAGCCACTCACTGTGTTGCCAGAACTGTTGCCCAGGGCGGAGACAGAAACAAGGGGTGATTCACACGAGAGACCCATCAGTCCCTTCCGGTCTGGAGGGACATCACACATGGCTTCTGTGACGGGGTCACCTGGACTCTATGCCGAGCATCTGACCCCACCCCGGATATTAGCTCAAAGACTTAGTGTCCACCCAACAGCCAGCGGAAGCAGGACAGGGCCACACATGGACACTTGCGGGTGCCCCGAATCAGTCCTTCTCCCACAGGACCAGGTGGCCATTGGGACTGGGCTCCTATCCCCCACCTATATTCTGGCTCTGTCTCGGCTGCTCCTTCACCTTGAGTCCCCTCCACGCCCAGAAGGACATCGAGCCTCTAAGACTGGTTTTTCATCCATTCACACAGAGAGACAGTAGTGAGGCAGTGCAGGTGTGAGGGGGAGTGTGTGTGTGCATGTGCACATGTACGCATATGTGCATGTGTGAGCATGTGCGTGTGTGTGCACAAGTGTGCGTGTGTGTTCCTGCTCATTCGGCCGGCCCAAGAGAGCTAAGGTAAGAAGACAGTCAGAGGAGGGGCTGGCACACTTACCGGCAGCCTTGCTGGGGCAACCTGAGGGTCTGTTCAGTGATTCAACCCAGGTCAGCCTGGGCCAGCTGGGCCCTGGCAGAGGTTGTGTGTGTTTTGAGGACTGTAGCCCCCAGCTCTGGGTGACGAGCCCCAAGTGGCGTGTGTGTGTGTGTGTGTGTGTGTGTGTGTGTGGAGGGGGTAGGGGAGAATGCCATGTGGGGACGCTGTCACCTGCCCCAGCTGAGCTCCCCAGAGGGGCTTCACCCTTCCAACACATGTCACCTCAGGCCTTCTTGGGGGCCAGTGTGTAAAGACCAGGCCTGGGTCTCAGGTTTTCCTGAAGCAGGAACAACCTTGGAGGGCGCTCAGGGCTGGCCTTGGGGGTGCTGGGCCGGGGTGGAGGAGAGAGTGGATAAGGGAGGGAAGGGGGAGGCAGGGAAGCAGAAACAAGCAGGACACGCCTCGTCCCGCGTGGCTCTGTCCTGTGTCCTCACGGGGTCCCGACATCGGATGTCTCTGTGCTTCTCTCAGATTTTAAGTTTCAAACTCACTCATGTCTCCAAATCTATACTTCTTCAGTTTACGAGACATAATCCAGTTCCTGAGAGGTACAAATCATCTTAGGCCATTTTTGCTTAAAGCACAAGAATTCCCCAATATTAAAACCCTTAACAAATGGACCTCCAGGTTTGCCCAGTCATCACTTGTTTTACTGTGTGCTTTCCTAAGGGCCCACTGTACGATGCCTGCTCCAGAGCTGCCGGAGGTCATCACGACCGAGCGAGGTGTGGGACCCAGTGGGGACGCAGCTCTCACGCAGGTAGGGCTGCATTCCTTCAGAGGTTACCCAGCAGCTGAAGACGCCCCTGGCGTCACGCTGGACCCCAGGGAGGCAAGTTCCCTAGCAGGGCTCCCGCTTACCTGGAAATGGAATATCCCGGTGTAACCGGGGCCAAAGCTCTGGTCCTGGGGGACGACTCTAGCCAGCGCTTTCTCGTTCAGCGTAAGGGAGGCAATGGCGGCCAGCAGCCAGCAGTCACCTGCAACACGGGGGCCACAAATCACGGTTTCTGATGCTTACTCACAGCAAAGGGGGACCATCAATACCAGAAGGACATGCGGGGCGTTCCAGGTGTGGCCACGTCTTTTTCGTTTAATGGAGAGCCTCCCAACAAATACCTGTGTCCAGAGCTCTGTCCCTTCACGCCTCTTCTGCCCAGTCTGTCATAAACAGCTGTCCCTGCCTTGGCAGTGTTGCAGGGGGACCTGACTTGGGTGTCAGACACAGCTCCACATGTGTCAGTTCTGGGAATTCCCTGTCTAAGGGACCAAGGCTGCAGGCGTCAGTGACAGTGTGGCTGGGCACACAGGCCTCAGCCCCTGGGAACTAGTCTCTTCAGTGCCTGGGGCGCCTTTTTGGGACTGACGCCCTCAACCCAGACTCAAATTAGGTGTAGGTCATGGTGCCTCTGTAGGCATTTGCGTCCAATTATCTTGCATTTTCAAGATTGGTCAACTAATGTACCGATCTCCCCAGTGTGTCTTCATGTTGACACACATTAGAGGAAAACTGAAAAGTAAAGTCAAATATCAGTGTTCTGTGTGTGTCATCGAGCCCTCTGGACACAGCCATGTGCCCACACCAAAGATGGGAGGAGCCCCTCACATGGCCAGGCAGTGTTTCATATGCTGCCTGTGAGGTTGGTGTGAGCAGATCCCAGGAGCATTCGTGTAACTGACAGGACCCCCCATGTCACCCCAGACCTCCTGCGTCAGCAGACCACACCACTGTCGCCGGAACTCCAGGCCCCGTCACACTCACTTGGCTGCCTCCAAAAGTACCGTGTGCCACTGCCCTGGAGACACTGTCACCTGGCTCCTTTCTGGTTGCTGTGCATGGGCAAGAGGGACTCATGAGGGTCCAGCAGCAGGAAAGCTACCCTGAGTTCACTCCGCTTTCCCTAGGGTGTCACCAGCAGGCACATGACACTGGTTTCTATTGCATCAGCTGGTCTTTGGCAGCCGGGGCTGGCTTTGGGGAGATCACGATCAGACGGGACACTGGCGGGAGGTCTTAAGACCATGCGTTTGGTGAGCCCTACCGAATGCCTCCTGGTGGCGGTCCCTGCTTTCAGCTGCAGGATGGCCAGGGCGGGACCCTGCTGTGGGCTGGCCTCTTCCACCGGCTTCTCCAACTTACGACATCGCCCCATATAAGAAAGTGTTTCTTTTCCTGGCCTGAAAGTGCAACACCTCATGTCTATCCAGCCATAACGCTCTGAGCTGTTGGAGGGCGGGATTCAGAGGCCAGTGTTATTTACACAATTGAAAACAAAGGGAAAAACTCAACAACAAAATAAAGTTGCTGTTGATGGGTGCCAATGGGTGAGACTGGCCAGCCCAGCACTGTGCCCAGGAGAGGGGACTCCTGAAGGTCAGTTTGTTGGACAGCTGGATGTGGACACTAACGTCCAGGGGCTACTATTGGGGAGGGACCGGCGATGGTTTGTAGTTCTTATTTTGGGTGGCGGGCTCACAGCTGTCCATGTTATTGTTATCTTTCAAAATGTATACACATGTTATTAGAGTATTTGAATGTAATAAATTTTGTAAGTGCTACAAAATAATATTTATAAACAACCACCAACTAAGGTAAAATATAAGGTCATTATTCCAAACATATGTTTCACCAGTATAAACACTAATCAAATTAAAACGGTAAAACAAGGGACTGGTACAACGGTTTCCCATTAAATAGCAGTATAGAGATGGGGGTAGAACGGAGGCAGAAGGAGACGGGTGGAGGAACAAGAGGGGGGGGGACCTCCTACGGAAGGCTTAACCTCAGGAAGTGAAGACCAACCTGAATGTCAGTCTTTTTGAAAAGTCAAAGTTATTCTAGAATTATAATTCTGTTATCTATGTATCTGTCATCCAGCCTGCTATTTATCTATCAATGGTTGTCACTGTAGGTTTGTAGGCCACAAACAATGGTTTGTGCCTTCTGGGTTAGTGTTTAGGGCAGCTTGGCCACTCGGCATGGAGGTTCCGGCGTGGTCTCTGGTGGTGACCCAGCTGTAAGCAGCTCGGGGTCTGCATAGGCTTGCAGGGGTTTGTTCCCTCTGGCTGGTTCCACTGGTATTTTTTAGGATCTCCCTCTCTGTCTCTCTCTCTCTGTCTCTCTCTCTCTCTCTCTCTGTCTCTCTCTCTCTCTCTCTCTCTCTTTTCACAGATAGAATGAAGGTAAACCGGCTTCTTGTTGGACTGAATCCTGAAATGCAGGACCCAACTTAACTGTCTGGGGGGTACGCTCAGACCGATTACACAAAAGAGATTGGGTTCTGGGTTTTTTTGGGGGGTCCCCCAAAGTATGAGCCCCTGAGAGGCAGTGTGGCATAGCAGTGAAGAGCCAGTTTGGATCCTGACTCTACCACTCCGGGACTTTGGGCAACGCCCTCAGCACCCTCAGCTTCGGTTGCTCATCTGTAACATTGGGAGGGTGGCTGGGAAGAGGGACTGTGGCGTTGTCCTGATGGTGCCGAGCTGGTGGCTGGGTTAGTGGAGCCGGTATCAGCTGTGTTGTGGTGTGGGAGGGCCAGGTCAGCACCGCTGGGCGTCTCCGTTCCCTGCAAACTCCTGGGCTGTGAGCCCTGAGCACAGACCCATCCACCCCCAGGGAACAAGAGTGTGAGGGGCTGGGAGTCACTGGGCTCCATCCCACCAGAGCAAACAGGTGGGCTGGGAGCAGAGGGCGGGTGGGAGGGATGGAGGGAGGAGCAGAGGGTGGTAGCAGCGAAGTTCCCCAGCCCCAGGGGCCCCGTCTGTTGGCCCCCATGGGGTGGTCTGCTCTGTCCAACCCAGCCAACCCATGCTCTGTCTGCTCACACTTACCAAGTTCCCCCTGGCAGATATCAGTTCTGGTGGCCCCTTCAAGAATGAATTCAGGGTTTTTCACTATTTCCTGGAAGAACAAGAATGTAAATGCAGTTGGCTCGCCGCTCAGTGGGCCACAGAATGAGATAGGCTCAGGGCCTCGCTCTTTTCTTGGAGCACAGGGCTGCTCTCCTGTGTTTGATTTTGTCCCCGTGGAGGGACACGAAGTGAAGGGCGGCCGTGGCTGTGCCCCACAGCTGGGCCTTCTCTGGTAGACCACGTCCCCTGGGGAGAGGTCCTGCCTCTGAGCAGCCCTTTGGTGATGTGCTCTGGCCAGAGTCCCTCCACACCTGGCTGCACAGTGGACGTCAGCCAGGCCCTGGGCTTGAAGTCGGGGGGGGGGGGCCCGGGTTCTGGTCCTGTCTCCCCACGCATGAACATCGTGTACTTCGGGGGGGGGTCTCAAATTTCTCATCTCAAAGTGAGGAGACACACCACAACCTGGCGCCCAGGATAAGCACAAATTCCCACTCGGGCCACTCAGCTTCTTTTTTTTTTTTAAATATGCATTTAGGTACAATTTTTTTTATATATCTATACTATATAGTAAGAGACATGTGCATATATGTCCCACATAATTTTACCAAAGAGCATTATATATATTTCATTGTACATATTATGCATGATCATATATATTATGGGAATATGATACAATCATTGGTATATATTAATATACATAATATGGAGGGATAAGTGTAAAACATTAACAAAAAAGTATTTGAAAGCGATTATGCAAAATTCATGTAATCTTTCCATTCTTTGGAGGCACCAGGTTCCGCTCCTGACACAGACCACAGCACAGAACGAGAGAGAGACACGTCAGTCCCTGCCGAGTGACAGGCCACAACCAGGGAACAGACACACGGGTTTGGGAGGAGATGTGCCAGGACAGAGTGACGGATGGCGGAGCTGCTTTAGCCGGAGCGGTCAGGGAGGGCCTGGGGGAGCGGCCAGTTGAGTAGGGCGTCCTGCGAAGGTCCAGGGAGAGGAAGCAGCAAATCACGAGACGGAGAGCGTTCCGGCACACGGCAGACACCTGGCCATTTTAACTGGGTCTGAGCACAGGGCGAGGGAGGGGCTTGCCCACCCACTTCCCCACCCGTGTCTGGGTGACGCCTGGGGACGGCTCTGCCCTGAACTGCATCCTCAAGCTCAGCAGACCGCGCTTCCCTCTGGTCTGCGCCCCAGAGAATCGGGGAGGATGCTGGGTTTTTTGAAGGAGGGGGGCCTTCCTGGGCCAGGAGTGCCAGTGTGAGATGATGGTGCTGTGTCTGCAGCCTCCAGGGTGTGCAGCCCGTGGAGGGTGGACCCGGAAGCATCTGCCCAGACAGCGCTGCGTGGGGCTGTTAGTGTTTAATGTGTTCCAGCAAACTCGGCCAAGAGCATCTCTGGAGAGCGCTGGCCCTGGGTGCGTCCAAACCCAGGCCTGGCAGATGTGTGACCCACAACCTGAGTGTAGCCCCAGCGTTCCTACCCTCAGCGTCAGGAGCCTGGGCGTCTTGTCACCAGATCACCCTAGTCTCCAATACGAGAGAAAGACGGCTGAAAGCCAGGGCACCAGGGAGTCCCCACAGCCCTCCCTGCACGGCCCAGCCCCACTCTAGGTCCCTAACAGGCAATGTTCCGGTGCCATGGTTACTCGTCCCTATCTGGAATGTGAAATGCACTCTGAAAGCTGGCAGATCCCTGCCCAGCAGGCTGTGCCAATGGCATGGGCTGTGGGCAAGGCAGCCCCCTCCTCCCCTGTCGCTGTCTATCCCCGCCCCCCCACCTTCTGCAGGCCTGGCCTCACCAACTGCGCCTGCAGCTGCCACCACCTCCCAGCTCCCATCTGGCAATTGGTTGTTTTTGTCCAGGAGAGTTTTATCTAATTGCATCAAACTGTGGCTCGATGGAGAAAAAGGAGAAAACTCAATAATTGTCACTAAGTGAACACAAATTAGCCATCAGGTAGAAACCGGCGAGATCCCCGGATGTGTGACTGATGCCCCTGTCTGCCCAGCATTTTTGTGAGTTGGTCCATCAGTGTGCCCATCATGGGCGTTCCGTGTACATGTGTTCTGAGGGGGTGGCTATGCGGTGGTGAGGGTTACATGCCTTTGAGCCATGCAGCAGTGTACATTGACAGATGTGGGGTCCCCCTGTGCTAAACGTGTGTGACTTGCGTAGGCATGTGGTACATGCATGCCCATGTGCATGACCCATGTGTATGCTGGTTGTGTGTGTACTCTGGGTGCACTGCGTTCATGCTTGGGGGGTCCTGCACACGCATGTGGGGCCCAGAAGAATGTTTGCTCACGTCAAATGTTTTTGGGGTCTTGAGGACGAGGGTTATGTGAAACTACTCCCTTGTGACAGGAAGATCAGAGGGGTCTCGACAAACCTGAAGTGAATCCAGCCTGCACCTGGGGACCGAGAAGGGAGGGGGCCTGGGCACCACCAGGTGGCTCTCCTGGAAGACAGAGGACCCTCTCCTCCTGGAGTGCTGGCTTTCAGGGCCTGTTCTGCTCAGTGTGCACAGCATCGGGGGCTGGGCCCATCTTGGACTATTCTCTACTAACAAATTCATATCAGAAGGGAAAAGCCACATTTCTAACAAGGTCGGAGAGGCTGGGCCCATCAATCGATAGCTGTGTGCTGATCCTGGTGTGTTCCTGGGGCTATGGAGTCGCATGGGGACACAGCGGTGTCCCAGAGCAGCCCACAACCTCTGGGGGATTGGTGGAGCCACACAGGGAGTGGTGAGCCCACTGGGCACGGACATCATGGCTGCGTGCCATGAAGTACGCAGGTTGCTAGGAGCCGGCGGGGGGCTAGAGGAGTCCGGGCACCTTCAGGGACAAGGTGTCCTGGGTTTAGGCTGAGAAGTGGGGGAGGAAATTGCATGGAACAAAGCAGATGGGTGCAGGCAGACAGGGATTTGGGGAGAAAATGGAGGCCGAGGCTCTTGTGAGCTGAAGAAGTCAGGCTGCAGGCCATGGGTGAACTGTGACATGGCTGTGCCCCCACCAGGCTGAGGGACTCCCATCAGGCTGGGGGACCCCCCCACCTGAGACCTTCTCCTACTCACTCAGACCCACAGCCTGACTTTGAGGCCTGGTGCACACCACACCCACTGGGGTGATCTCACCCCTCCAAGTTGAGTCTGTCACTCTACTCCAATGCCAGGGTACCCCACTCAGTGCATTCCTCACCCTGGGCTCTCTGGAGGGCGAGGCTGGCTGTGCCTTGCCCTGTGATGGCCCCTTGACTCCTGCTCTTGAGCCTCTCCCTGGCCCTCGGGCACAGCTGTGTTTGACAAGAAGGTGGTGCTGGGAAGGCACCCCACCCTGCGGTCCCACTGGGCAGCTGGCACTTGCTGCCAGAACGAGCACACAGACGTGGGACCAGCCATGCAGACAGCACCGGAGCCCCAGGGGCCTTGGAGGGGCGCTGACAATGCTGACCATTTCCCTGTGGCAAGTGGAACCTCAGTCCCCACCCCCACACCTTTCCCCAGTTTCCCAAAGTCTGTAAGATACAATACAAAGCCCCGAGCACCCAGTAGGAAACAGATGGAGGTATGTGTCTGGGAACGGGGTGGAGGGGCCAAGTGCAGCTGCAGACAAAGCAAAGGGTGGAACAGATTCTGAAAGTGCGTCCACAGGGACGGCAAGCAGCCCAGTAGACCCACGGTGGAGGGCGGAGGGTGGACATGAGTGCACCAGGGGCATTACCCACCATTTGTGGCCTCACTGGGAAGAGATGGAGAGGAAGGACGACCACCTCCCAGAACTGAGAGTTGGAACCCTGGACTCCCTTGGGGGTCCTGGTGGCCCTCGTTCCAGGAGGGAGACCTCGGGGAGTGGAGACAAAGCTGTTCTCCACCCTGGCCCATGTGCACTGAGCTTTGATCTTGGAGAAACTCATTTGGGCAAAGAGGAGGTGAGTTGTGGGCTGCAGGATTACGCTGGAAGCCAGGGGCTGGCCATGTAGGATGCATGGGTGGAGAGCCTTCCTGCCCTGGTAAGGGGTGGGCCTGTCACCCCAACACAGAAGACTCTCAGAGGCCAACCCAGCTGCAGAGTGCGCCATGCGCTTAGCTGAGGCCTTCCTAAGGCCACAACACAACCCATTGCTCCTTCTGTCCAATCGTGCCCTTCCCGTGTCCATAGAGTTAGTCCTCAGAGCACCCCAGAGAGGTGGTCACGTGCTGCAGGCTGACTTCGGGGGTGGGGCAGGGAAAAGGTCAGCTAGCTGTAAGAGGCATGGTTTTGAGGTGGGTGGAGGTGCTGTTTTCTGCCTGCAGGACAAGGCAGGGGACAGGGAGGGGCTGACCAAGGTGGGCTCACCCCCTGTGTGCTCTGCTAACAAGCACACTTTGCTTTCGGGGTAATGACAGGTGCCCCTACTCCCTCAGGGAGCAGTCCATAAGGGATGCAGTGGCCAGCACTCCAGAGGCAGCCGGCATGGGAGAGCCCTGGCACCACTGTGTCCCATGTGACACCAACCTCCAGGGAACACGGGGCTATAACAATGCCCCACTCTTAGGGTCATTTGGGATTAAGTGAGATGACCCTGGTCCAGAGCAATGTCACCCAGGCCATAGTAACTGTTGGCTGTCACCACCGGTTTGGACGTGCCAGATGGTGTGTGAAGCTGAGGACCTAGTCAGCAATGGGGTAAATGAGCTCCGGCTCCAAAACACGGCTCTAAGGCAAGACATGGCAGCCGCACAGACTGTTGTATTAAAACTGCCTCCTCGGTGTTGAAATAAAGACCCCGAGGGCCCTTGAAGGACAAAGAAGGCTCCACAGGGAGGCCACTGAGCAGGGTCCACGTGTCCCCGCGAGGATCCCCCGGAGGGGTGCCGCATGCCGGCGGAAGGGGCCAGGGACAGCGTGCTGAGGGAACACGACCATGGGAATGGGGCACAGGGGTGGCAGGGGGGCGGCAACACTGAGCCACTGAGGGAGCTGAGCAGGCGGCATGGGCCCTGGAGGGGTGGGGGGTTGCTGGCGGGCTAACACTGGAGGCAGCGAGACCAGCTAGGAGGGAAGAAGCTACCGGAATTTCTCAGAAGGAAGGCTTAGCCCCTGTGATCACCTTGTGAGACTCAGGATAACACTGGAGAGCCAGAAGCAGCTTACACAGGAACCAGGGCAGGGTGGCACGGAGAGGTGCACACACACGCACACGCACACACACGCACACGCACACGCACATGCACACACTCGGCCTGCAACAGGAAGTAGCAATGAAGAGCTCACACTGTGTGGATAACAGTGTGTGTGTGCTGTGGGCTCGGCCCTGAGGAGCCCAGAAGTTTCTGTGTTTGTTTTTACAAATAGACACGCTGCCTTTTAAAACATTGACATTATTTGAATGTAGGGAGACAAAGAGTAGGAAAGGTTGATGAACCTGGGCCACTCGTATATAGGATGAGGCCTGGAGCTAATGATGAAGAGGTGATGATGGTGCCAATAAGAGTGACAGTGACAGTAGCTGTCATTTGTGGAGACTGTCTATGTGCCTGTCATGGGGTCCTATAGTCATTATTACCGACCCACTTTACAGGCGAGGAGACTGAGGCTCGAGGCAGTTATGTGATATGACCATAGTCATGGGTTACATTAGTGACAGAGTGGGGCCAGCACTCCTTGCTGCTCCCTCCTTGCCCATAGTCACCTGTCCCCACAGGAGCCGCTCCCTGGCCAGTACCCACCCTGAGGGAGTGAGAGCCAGGGGTGCCCGGTCAGAGGTCAGGCCCTGACTAATGTAGCATGGCAAATATTGATTCATCGTCCCAGGCTGCAGCTGGTGCCTAGAGGGACCATCACCTCCAGACTTCTGGGTGGCTGATGGCGCCCCTCTGGGAAGGGGAACGCGTGGTGTGGGGAGTGAACCCTGCTGCACACCTGTGCTGAGCACCTGATGAGTGGGCGTCCAGCCCTATCAAGCAGCCAGGGCTCCTGCCAGAAGCCACCGAGTGCTTTACCTGTGTCGCCTTGATGTCAGCACACGGGGGCTGGTGTTCTGACGGCCTCCCACCATGCCTGCAGGTTTGCCCTTGGCTTCCAGTAGGGTGTGTCTCCCGAGACTCGTCCCGCATGAAGTTTTGACCCACTCGCTGCCTCCTGACAAGACCCTCTCTGACTCCAGTCCGGCCCTGGAGGCACTCGGAGCTGGGGGTGAGGTGCAGCCTATCGCCCTGGGTACACCTGGTCCCCACCCCCACCCAGCTGGTGTGTGCTCCTGTGGACATCCCGCCTTCAAACTGCACAGCCTCTCCACATGCCCACCCGCTCGGCCCCTCCTCTCCTTGTACACCCCTCCCGCTGCACTCACCCCTGGCCGCTTCCACTCGAAGGGGACCTGGGGCCTCTCGCTGTAGAAGAGAGAGGTGTTGTTGGCCGGGAAGTCGGCATCCTGGAAGAGGATGCCCTTCTGCAGGCACTCCTGCCTCAGCTGCTCGAAGCTCTGGCCTGAGGAGTGGGTGCCACGGGCGTCCCTGGGAGTCGGCTGCTTCTGGGGCCCTGGGGCCCGGTGGAGGTAAGGCATGGTGGCTCCCTGGCCCGCTGGCTGAGGTCAGCAATGGGAGTGAAGGAGCGATGCCTGTGCCGGTCAAGAAGGAACCACTGGGCCCCTAGCTGTTTGCCTGGGAACCTCCCTGTAGATTGACACAGAACACGCCCTGATAGCAAACTGTAGACGGAGCCCTCTGCCCTCCCAGGGCTCCTGCAGACCCAGAGGGAGCTGTGAGGCTGGGCCAGTTCCAAGAGAGGTAGCATCTTGCTTAGGGCACTGGGAGGGAGGGTTGCTTTATGGGAAAGAACATGAAGCCACAGTGGACCGGGAGGTGGCAGCCGTGTTTGTTCTGCGCTGGGAGAATGCATGTCTTAGATGAGGAAATTGCGGTTTGGCAGCTGGAAGGCAGCGTAGTCACCGCACAGGACAGGAACACCGCTCTTTCACAGGCCGTCCCATTGTGATGTAGAGTTGGTCTCAGCTAACTTTTTCTGTAAGGAGCCAGACAGGGGAAGTCATACAAGCTTGTTCATTTCATCACAGCATCGATTCCTTTAGAAAAAGGCTGGAAAGCACTCTGCTCACTATGAAAGGAATGGTAAAAAATTAGGGCACAGCAAACAGGAGACAGAGCCCGTGTAGCCGGGGGACAAAGCGAGGAAGCCACACTGACGTGCAGGGCCTCTCCCTGTTTGATCTGAAGGTTTAGGTGGAGCACGGGCGGTGAGCAGAGTATGCCCATTTGTGCAGAATGGGGAAAACAGACTATGCATTCCTGGGCACATAAGGATCTCTTGGAAGTTGAGGGAGTCCTTCTTCGGTGGTGGAGTGGGGAGAGGGCTGAGTAGACAGGGGGTGGGTGCTGGGGAGACTTCCCTATATGCCTTTTCATACTTTTTTTCCTTGTAACCCTACACTTACCTGGTTGAATTTCTTTCTAAGTTTGAGATGCCCATGAAATAGTCAAAGGACGACATCAAGTAGGCAGGGAGACAGTGTGGCAGGACCCAGAATGGCAGGCTCCTTCTGATGGACACGCTGTCCTCTCAGGTACCAAGTCCCGCAGCCTGGAGTACCCTGCCCTCCTCCCTTCCTGGCTCTCCACAAGACCTCCCTGATACCTGACCTCCGTGTCCCAGTAAATGTCACCCAGTGAGTGTGAAGGGACTCTGCACACTCAGGAGTGAAAAACGTCAGCTTCTGCAGTCTCAAAAGTCACACGCTGCGTCCCACATGTGCAGAAATGTGATCCCCATTTTTAGCACCTATGTCCCCGTGGCCCTTGAACCCTCAAACTGCCCAGAGAACACAGCTTATCCTGCCCTGTACAGGACGGTTGCCACGTCCTGCGCAGCACAGGCAGTGATGAGTGAGAGGGGACAGCGCAGGGTGAAAGAAAATACAAGTGACAAAAAGACAAAGATAGATTTATGACACAAGGCCAGGGGGCTGCAGTTCTCTCTCTGGAACTGAGCGTCTAATCGGACAAATGTGAAGCTTTTATTAAGAAACTTCAAAGGAGTGAAACTTTTTTATTTTTTCTAAAGTCTGTATGATAAGTGCCTTAAGGCCAGTTTCCATCAACCAGCCCCATAGTACTCCAACACACGCTGTGCCTGCGTACTCCCACACACACAGCCCCCAGGATGGTGCAGCTGTGCTGTGGCCGTGAAGTAAGGGAGGTAACCGACATCATTCCACCGGGTCCCAGTTTTCTGAGACACTTCCTGGTGACCTTGTTAGGTCAGGGGCTGTTGTGGGGGGGCGGTCGAGGATGAGGCTGTAAGGCAACAATGGTTCAGTCCAATGCAGGAATTTTTCAGTCGGTTTTAAGTATTATTGTTTCAGTCATTCTGCAGGCCAAAGCTGAGTCTTCTTGGGTACACCCTGACTTCAGTGTCCCTGTCCCCACCCCTTGTCTCCCAGTGGCATGTGGGCATGGGGAGACGGGCCTCTGGTCAGCATGCCCTTCTAGGGAGCAGGGGCCATCCTTCAGTGATGCCAGGACCAGAGCAGAGGTCCCCCATCTCCCGGCCTATGGGGGACCAGGCCCTCCTCTCTCTAGCCCCAGATGGCTTTCTTTTAAGGTGGTAATGATCCTTATGTTACAAAGTATTGTCCCCTGACAATTTGCTTTATGATTTACTCCCCAGGTACCCCATCTTGACTTTTAAAACTCTCCTTTTGTGGGTTCTGAGAAAATCCTTTGCTCACACTTGAAAGCCCAGCCCTCCAAAGTCTCCCCATAGACTTAAAAGTCTAGCTTGAAGCCTGAAGCCACGCACTGGTACCTTAGTTCTAGGTGGGCTCTGCCTTCCTTTCCTTCTGTCTCGCTGCCCCAGAAGTCTGTGTGTTTGTAAAGGGGGCTGAGCTGTGGTCATGAGTGCCAACCCCGTTTCCTAGAAGGTGAGACTAGTGCACCATCTGCCACCTCCAGGCTCATATTGATAAGCCTGGGACCTGACCTTCCCTGGCACACCCCCATTCCATTGCCCGGCTGTTTACCCCTCCTCTAGCAGGAGCCCAGCTTTGCCTCAGTGGGACAAGACTTGTGTGGGCCTCGCGTCCCTGGGGTGAGGTGTCATGCTGAGACACCCTGCCTAGATCTCCCCCAGGCCTCTGCCCAGTCTTGGGCCTCGGCCATCTGACCACAGAGAGATCCCAGCTTGGACACAGGCTCATGAACCACCGGGCGGTCCCCTCGGTCCCCTTGGGTCTCCCAGGCCTGCTTGAGTGGCCACAGCCCCCTCAGCTGCCTTTCCAACCAGCTCAATTGTGGGATAAATACAGTTTCCCCCAAGGCCTAATCTCCCCAAATGAGCTCTAGGGCACTGCCCCTACGGCCACAGTGACGCTGTTAAAATTGCCAATGTCAAGGGCGTTGACATTGTGGAAGAAAGAGGAACCTCCATGGGGCACGTCTTCCCCTGCAGGTTGACCTCAGTCACTAGGACCACTTGACCCCGGGGACAGTAGTCTGGGAATTCACTCTATGTGGGTTTAGGATGCGAACGAGTGTAACTTCACTTTTTAAAAACTATATATTTTGCCCCCTTTTGCTCTGGAGCCCCATTTTAAGGTGCACCTCTCTCCACTCAGGTGGTCTTCCTCTCCCTTCCTCCTCCAATCGCGCACCTGGAGCAGGGGTCCCACTAAACCAAGGGCATCAGCTCTCTGCGCTGTCTGGGAACCGACCTCTTTCCTCACAGCTGCTGTAGCTTGTGGTCCAGTTTCTTATGGGAACAACGCACTGCCATTCCCTTGGGGCTCAGCAGGCTCCAACATTTTCCCCAGTGAGGAGCCCTCCACCTGGGCTGTGGGCTCCGCAGCCCTCCCCAGCATGTCCTGCCTGCTCAGGACAGTGCCTCGTAGAAAGGCTTTCCCCACAATGGACACTGTCATGTTGGGTCTCCCAGCTTTGCCTGCGCACCTCTTCCAACCAGGGCTTTCCCATCTGTGAGCCATTTCACAGGGACGGACACAGCACTTCCTCCCGGTCCTGGCTGCCGGGCGGTGTGACTCGGATGACTCAGGACTATTCATCAGGCGCCCCCACGAGACACTGGTTTGAGTGACAAGCAGAAGCAGAAGAGAAGAACTTCACTTGGTGCAGGTGTGAGGGTTCAGGTCTTTGTGGTATAAGCTTCTGGCGCCCACCCCTCCACGTCCCCTGTGAGCTGCAGCATGTTGGCTAAGGAGCAAGGTGTCCGCAAGCAGCAGTCACGATGGCAGTTCTCTAAAGCAGCCTCAGGATGGGGTTGAGTATCGCTTCTGACCCTAGGTCTCTGGCTCCCCTCAAAGCTGTCAGCTCCCTAATATCCATAGAGTCAAGTACCAATTACAAGGGGGGCACATTCTGAGAAACACATAGTCAGGTGATCTTGTTGTGCAAACATCAGAGAGGGACTTACCCAGACCTGGATGGTATAGCCCTCTGCCCCTAAGCTGCAGGGCTGCACAGCACGTGACTGTACAAAGCAACGCAAGACAGATGAGACTGCTGCTGGTGTAACGAGGCATACTGTGCTGCAGCAAGCTTTTATTTTTCATAGGTACACTCTAAAATAATCTTAACAAGTATAGTAAATGGCAAAACCAGTGACATGGTCATTTATTCTCAAGCATCATGCACTGTACATAATGGCACATGCTCCACTTTCACACGAGTGTCGGTGCAGTAGGGTCGTCTACACCAGTGACCCCACCCACACATAAGCAACACATTGTGCTGCGATGTTACAATGGCTACTACTGGCGTCACCAGGCGATAGGAATTTCTCAGGTGTTATAACCTCGTGGGACCACCGTTGTTACGCGGTGCTTGACCGTGTGGGGATGTGGATGGCGTCACTGAGTACATAACAGGCGGAGCCGCGAGAGCAGACAACTGTGAATTACCATTGACTGATGAGGCTTTTGCTACTGGAAGTCAAAGTTTGTGGACTTTTTCTAAAGCAGAAGCAGATGTAATTTAAAAATCCTTTTATTATAGACACTTAAATATTCTTCATGTGCAATACTTCTGGGTTTATTAAAATTATTAATTTAATTTTAAAAATCTCATTTGAGCTCTCTTCTGTATCTACAGTTTCATATTTAGGCGTGTGACATAGATCTTATTTAGTTCCTATCTTCTTTGTGGTAAAGGTTTATCTTCAGCTGCTCTCCACGCGTCTCATCTTTTGTCACTCTTCGTTTTCTCTTTTTGACACCCCAGTTTCAGATTCTTTTAAAGGACGCATTCTCCCACTCTGGGAAGGCGGCATCATGCAACAAACGCACCATGTTTGCGTGGGTCAGTGGTTCAGTGAAAAAACTGTTGGTCTCCTTGGAACTAATGACTTTTGAAAAATCTCATTGCAATCTTTATGACCCAGCTTTCAAAAGGAATTTATTAGCTTAGGGTCCTATGAGAATATAATTTATGAAGTCACTGTCAGTCATGATTGTGATGATGTAAAGTAACATACCAATCACTTATTTTTGAAGTGATAAGACTTTTTTCACAGAGTACCATGGTATGAACTACCATGGAAACAAAACAAGTTCAATGGCTATGTCTGATTTATAAATATAATTTTCTGTTTTAATTTAGGTAACTAAAAATGTGTGGGCAT